TGGCAATACAGGAGAAGCCAAGAGGATTTAAAATATCTATATCTATATATCTATATCTATCTATATATATATATTGGGTATTCAGTGCTTGGATACTTAATGATAGCTGCCCTCTTCCATTAAATCTTACCAAGGAGAGGTTGGAAGGTGGTGGTGAAGGGATCTGGGTGCTTGGGCATCTGTCCCTGGCAGTGCAGGTGTATGCCAGTGACAGATAGCTTTTGTGTCTAAGTTGTGGATTTTGTTACAACTCTCTCCTCACTTGCACGTCCTGTACGTAGCACGTCCTGAGCATGTAATAAGACCCTGGACAGTCCCAGTGGAGTTGATATTGGGTTAATTCCATGATAAACATTATTTTTGAAACACACAGTAACTTGTATTAGCTAGCATTGCATCCATTTTTGGCAAATGTACAACACAAAACTGAAATGCTTCAGTGCCATTCAGTCTGTCCTTGGCAATTCTTTTTCTTAGAACCGTACTGATCTCCCAGGCTTCAAAGACGTATTGAACAACAGCAGCAGAATCAGCAAAGGAGCTTGGAGTGTGTCTGTAGTTGAATCTTCCTGTTAGGAGACTTGCACTCTATTCCTGCCCTTCCCCCTCCTCTGGCCTCCCATTGAGTCTGCTGCTCTACTCTGGGGCCTGAATTTCTTGGATTAACAGGAAGTCAGACTTCAATTACTTTGCACACATCTGTTCTTTTGTGTCATTGATAGAAAGTATGTTGTAGTTTTTGTTTGTTTGTGTTTGGCAAAGGTCGAAGAGGGCTTTTTTCTCCCCTTTGTCCTATTTGCAACATATCTTTAATCAAACCCATATGAGGGGAAGCAGCTACACTTTAATTTCTACTCTTTGGGAGTCAAGAATACCTCTTAATTTTAGGAGCCAGGGTTTCCTCCTCAGGCCTCATCAATGAGTTGGGAATGCTGGTTTTGGTAATTATGACTGCCTGGTGTAGACTGCACAGCTGCCCCACCATCACCCTCCCAAAGTAACAAGTGTGTTGAAGGGCTACCTAGAGAGTGGGCGATGGGCAACGTGGCTTACGTTGCCCAGTCCTACCCAAGAGTTTTATGATTTTCATGCAGCCTGGGAGGACTAAGTACTTCCCTTTTGGAGCCATTGTGAGATATAGTGAGACGTGGAAGGAGAAGCTGATGTTAAAGGAAGTTGAGTGACTGACCCAAGGAAGCATGGTGAATGGGAGAATTAGGACTGGGAGGCCAAGTTAGATTGCTTCTAGTCATCCGTCTTCTCTTTCTAGAAAGGATTCTGTGGCCACACGCTAGGCTGAGCAGGATGAAGGTCTGGGCTGTGTTGATGGGTAGGGCTAGCATTGCTCATTTGCGAGGTGGAAAGAGGTGGAGAAAGGGGAGAAAGTGAGAAAGGAAAAGAGCTGCAGGTATTGGTTGTGGCAGTCCTTTGGTTTCCCAAGATCCAAAATTGTCCTTTGGGGAAAGCAGTGGCCTCTCTGACTCTGTAGGTTTCTATAACAAGATCGAAGTTCTTATTTAAGTCTCCCTTGCTTGAGGGGAGAGCCCAGTGAATAATAATTGCAGATTGCAGAATAAATATGCCTCAGGGCTTTCACTTTCTGTCTTCCCTTCCTTACTCTTTAGTTTCTTTCTTCTTCCAGTTTTACACTCATTTTAATCTCCAGGCACCAAAGTAAGTGGGTTGTTTCCCTTAGGAGTGCCCCCACACCTGGTTATCACACACAGTCAGTCTCTTCCCCCACCCTTGACTGGCATTTAAGTCAAGCTGCAAATCTCTGTGCTGCTCCCTTTTCTCTTGATTTATCAGTCCACCTAGTATTTTTACTTTCTGAGCCTTTTAGCCTGAAGCCTAGGGAAGAGAGTAAGGATAATCACACCTCTGTCCTCTGACCTGCAAGTTGCCCAGGTAATCAGACTCCCTGGAATAGCCAAGGCCACAGGAGGAGATTCAGTCTCCAGCTGTTGTCCTAAGCATCTGTAGAAATATTTAGCTGTTGTCAGCCTGGAGGAAAGACTGGAGTTAGGGATGGTGGAAAATTCATCTCAGGGGTAGCTCTGGCAACAATTCCTTATCAGGGAAACCACTGAGAAGTGGACCAATCTGTATTCTCTTCATTCTGAATCGACTCTTTAAAAAAACAATGTGGGAGACACTGGCAGGAGAGTGTGGAGATAGATGGCTTACAGGAGCTGAGGAGGGGGCAGTGTATATGGGAGTGGTAGATAGGGGAAGAAATGTTGGTCTTGGCGTCAAGAGACCTGACTTTGGGTCCAAGCTCTGCTATTGTTATTAACAAATTGGGTGACACAGGGCAAATAAAATAAACAAAAAATCCTCTCAGAGCCTTCCTTTTCTCATTTGGGGATAAGAATACTTATGGTTGCTGTGAAGAAAATACTTTGGAAATGTGATATAATGAAGAGCCTTGGATTTAAAGTCAAACAACCTGGGTTTCAATCTTTACTCTGCTCCTTACTATCCATGTGACTTTGGACAAAATGCTTCACCTTTCTGGGTATCTTATTTCCTCATCTTAAGCCTGGGTGGGATGGGAGGGGATTTAGACCACCACTAGATGAGCTTTACTAGTTCTAGATCCCAGGACTTAAAGTGCTGCAGAAATGTGAGGAGTTAGTATTATTACAATGAATAATAAAGTGGTTTTCTTCATCCCGCTGGTGACGTTGTAACCAGGCAGAGAATTTAGTTCCCGTTTGTCTGCCCCCCAGTGCTTGGAGTAGGGGATGTCTAGAGGTCCAGAGATTTATGGCCTAATACGAAGCTTGGAAAGTCAGTGCCTATCCAGATAACAAAAATGCTGAATGAAGACTTATGTTTCCTTAATTTTAAAGAAGTAAACCAGGCAGACAGCATGAGCCCAGAAGTAGGAGTCCACTAGGGGGTGAATGAGCCAGGCAGAGTCATTGGTTTCAGTTCAGAACTGGGGGAACTTTTTAGCTGCCTTTTGTTTGAAATGAAGCAAGGGCCCAGATAGTCATGAAAGCAATCTGTGACCACTGGAACCAACTCGGACACAGTGGACATTGAACCAACAAAACGTTTCTGTTGCTTAATATTTATCTAAACTCTATACATAGCAAACCAAAGCTTAGTCCTTGCTTATCTTAACATATTTACGTGGACATGTATAATTTTCCCTTATGTATGCTTTTGGAGGTGGGGAGAGGGGAGGATTTGAGTGGAAGAAGTTGTATAATCTCAAGATCTGGGAAAATGAGGAGTGTGCCTGAGAGAAGATTTTTATTCTAAATCTGCTAAGCTGTCTTGAAGTGATTGGAATTTGAAAGTCCCTTAAAAAAAGATGAAAGAGGTAAAAGGTTATTTTGGGTAGATTTTAACCATGTTTATAGACTCTCTGTGTAATAGAGCAGATTACTAATGAGTCTTCCCTGGCTTGGAAGTTGATGAATGGTGAATGAAACAGATTTCCTTAATAGAATCTCCCAGAAATGAAAGAAATGTGTCTGATCCAGTATTTTTCCCTTAAGTTCGTTGGATAGTATGAGGAGAAGAAAGTGAACCTACAGACAGGGCAATGACATGTGGTCCCCTTTTAAAATAATGGTTATTCATTCAAAAAAGAGACAGGAAGCCTTCAAGTTGAGACTCAGGGTAGGTGAACCTGCATGGGACCAATGGAGAGACAAAGTCTAAGTTTAGAGCTGTGTCCGTTGGCCACACGAGTAAAGACAGTCCAGAGGGACTCCTGGGAATAGCTGCCCTGATTTCTTTCCCAGCCCCCCACAGAGATGGCTCCAGGCTCTAGGCCAGAAGCAAGCTCTGAGATTCCTTGCCTTCCAGGGAGCCAGTTTCCCAACCCCACAATTAACAGTTGGGGTACTGGCTGGCTAGTTTTGTTTTTCCCTTAGATCCTGCTTGAATTAGTCAACTGGTTTTCTCCTGTGGAAGAGCACCCTGGCTTTTATCAGGTCTGCTACATTTTCAGGATATGATGGCATTGATCATAGAAATATAGACATTCAAGGGTTATGTAGGTCCATGGGTTCATAGTTCCTTGATGTTCAGATTTCCATTTAATAAATGAATAATTATCTGTGCAAAAGATGTGGAACCGAGATGGACAGGATGAACAGGCATCAGTCTTCTGTCTGCCTTCTCTAGGCCTCCTCTGGGTGGATTCCCTTCCTAAAGTCTGATTGGCTGAGTGATCGCTCATGTCACAATCTCTTTACCATCACAAACCCCTTCTCCTTAGTTCTCGTGGTTACATTAGAATCCCAGTATATAAGGGAGGTGAAGCTCAGCTAGTCAGTTGCCTGTGTAGTACTGTGAATGTCTATATTTCTACTGTAGCTCTGCCTGTATTGCATTGATTATGTAGATCGATTTTTAAAATTTTCTACCTGTAAACATTTTTTTAAATTACTACAATCAAGAAAAGTTTAGATTTCAGTGGAAACCAATCATCTTCCAACAAGTAGGTAGCAGGAGGAGTTTTAGCTTGGTGTCTAAGTGAACATTAGTTAGAATGCACCAGGTAACAATATCTCCCAGAATGCTTCTCTTCCACCTGCTGCCTAATCCCCTTAATGCTGTTGCATTTTCACTCTCTCTCTCAATATCAGTGAGACATGTGACCTGGGAATGTTTTATCTTTCATAAACACTTGTATTTCTTTGCACTCCTAGTTTTCTTTTTAAGCCATCTTTTGAGAGAGGTCACCACATAACAGATCAGGGTTGAAAAAAACAAACTTTATAGACAAATGGTGACTGGAATGTGCTCTAAGGTAACAAAGTTGCCAGGAGGCTGGAATTTTTTTGTGTGGGGGTTTTTTTTTACCCTCTAGCCTGTCACATGGGTGAATTCACAGAGTCAGGCCCTTGAATGGACATGCTTACTGTCCGCTCCCAGGTCACATGAAGAATAGTGGCAGAGCCTCCTGAAGTCTTTAGAGATGGGTTAGCGCTCGATGTCTTCAGTTTGTTTCTTTGTCATTCTTCCTGTTGATACAGGTTGCATGGTTGGGCCCTGGAAATGGGATGTCAATCCTATTCGGGGAGCATAAAGAAAGAAAGAGAATCTCCTAGCTGCTGCTGTGACAGTAAGTGAGATAGAGACTTCAGAAAATGTCGACGGTAACATCAGCGATTCCGGCTCCTCAGGGCCCTGTGAATCCGCCCCCCCCAGAAGTCACCAACCCCAACAAGCCTGGGAGGAAGACCAATCAGCTGCAGTACATGCAGAATGTTGTGGTGAAAACTTTGTGGAAGCACCAGTTTGCTTGGCCCTTCTATCAACCAGTAGATGCAATTAAATTGAATTTACCTGTGAGTATGTTCTTCTTTATGCTTTGAGTCTTGCTATAGATATCTAGCCACTTGCACCTTTCCAGAATCCTCCTGTTGCCAGCCTATTCAGGAGTCACTGGATCTAGTATCAGTAGGAGTGGGGTTAAGGCCAAGCTCTTAATAGCTGGATGTGATCTTAGGGGAAAGTCATCTCACTTATCTGTTTCCTCACCTTTAAAGTAGGGATGATAACCCCTACTCTACCTGTCTGTCACGGGATTATTGGGAAGATCAGACGAGATAAGGAAATTATATAAAATCCCGAATTTAAAGGCCAGCTAATATGCCCCCTCCCGTAAAGCCTTCTGATGCCTCACTGTGGTGTGGAGGTAACCTTGGGTTTCCAAGGGTCGTGCTTGTGGCCTGTAGGCTCTGGCATGTCCAATGGAGGTAGAAAGGATTCTAGCAATGGAAGGGCATGGCCTTCGAGTTTGCCTGTGGTCCTGAGAACTGTCCTGGAGAATTTTGTGGGCCATGAAAACTCTAAAACTATGTACTAAGTGTATAAAGGGATTATAGTCTGTATCAATGGAGGGAATGCTCACATCACAGAAAATCCAGATGCTAGAAATATGGAAGTAATATGGCTTCATCTTCTTGTAGAAGGTGCTTTGTTTCATATTTCATTTTGATCAAAAAGCTCATCCTGAGGCTTTAACTCTCAGCATCCATTAAAGGCGGAGCATTAAGCCTAGCTTGGATAGGGGCATTTGCAAATCTTCATACTGTTTCTGATTTTATCTTGTACCATGAGAAGTATCTTCTTCTGGTACTTGTGTGAATTGGGGTTCATTTTGTGAAAAGGTACAGCCTGTCTCCCCAGTCTTGATTTTTTTTAATAGGCTGTTTGCCTTTGTATCACCTGGGACCAAAGAAAGCTTCTGTCTGTGTAGGGGTGAAAAGAGCATGAAACCTTTTCTCTGAAGTCAGGAGTTTTCAGGCCTCTTTAGCATAGTAGCTAGAGATAGGGGAAATGGGCAGATGTTTCTACTCTCCCTTAGTTTACTCAAAATCTGTGCCTTGATCTAGACTTGATCTACCTAGTGATATGAATCATAAAAGTTCTTGGATGCCTGCTTGTGTTGGTAGACCAGTAAACTGCCAAAAGAGAGAGTGCAATGGACTTTACCTTGTTTAAAATGTTATGGAGGACTGACACCTTTAAAATCTCTCCCACAGGATTATCATAAAATAATTAAAAATCCAATGGACATGGGGACTATTAAGAAGAGACTGGAAAACAATTATTATTGGAGTGCGAGTGAATGTATGCAGGATTTCAACACAATGTTTACAAATTGTTATATTTATAACAAGGTAAAGGACTGGCTTTTTTTTTTTAAAGTGGCAGCATTGTGTGAAGAATACCAAGCCTTTGGCTTTTATCTTTTGATGAGGGATAATTTACTCTTCCAAATTGTCCTCTTGAAAGGACATGAAATACCACTTAGGAGTGACCACATTGCTTTATTCTGCTCCAATTTCTTGGTCTGAAGCTTTTTTGGTGTGGAAAGAGTAAATGGTTGGGTAAAATGGTATATTCCAGTGTTGTTAGTGAGTCAGAGCCCAGATCAGAGAATAATCCCTTTAATTCTAGCTCTTCAGGACTTGATCTGGTAATAGCCAATGTCGTTCTCTCAGGGTCGCTCTGGATGCACCGTGGCTCTGTTTGCTGTAAGCAGACCATGCTCTCCCTTGATCTACTTGGACTCCTGTTATTTTGTTTTTCTAGAGCAGCTCTAGCACCATTAGTCTAGTTTTTCTGCTCATCTGAGCCTACCAAATTCTAGTTTTCAAAAATAGTTGTGTTTCATCACTGGTCCCCCTTCCAAACACTAATACCAGGCCTTGTTCTGTTTCTCCAGCCCACAGATGATATAGTCCTCATGGCCCAAGCCCTAGAGAAAATATTTCTTCAGAAGGTAGCCCAGATGCCCCAAGAGGAAGTGGAATTATTACCACCAGCTCCTAAGGGCAAAGGTCGAAAACCAGCAGCAGGAGCACAGAGTGCAGGTAACTACATGATGTGAAGTTGATAACACCTGGCTTTTTTTTTTAAGGTTGAGACAAAGAAATTAATGTATCCTACTGTTCTTGAAATAGCCTCACAATGACAATGATCCTTTTTTTTTTTAATATGTTCTCTTTGGCCTCATGCTACCTATTTGTGGAATAGATCATGGCTGCTGCAGAACAATCAAAACACTCTATATACATGCCATCAGCAAAAACATTATAGCACCTAGCATGTGCTCTGTCTATACTTGGCAAATAGCGAATGAAAAGGAATGAATGTATGAATGAGTTTGTTTGGCAAAATATCTTAGTGATTCAGGCTTCCCTCTCACATAGGGATATGTTCTTTTTTTTACAGGTATTTTGATGAATGGAATACACCATCCCCCAGGGCCCTGGGGGAGGAAGAGAGGGGGAATGTGATCGATAGCATGGCACAGTGCAGTGATTCTAAAACTTTTTAGTGTTAGAATTCCTTTATATTAAAAATTAAGAAAAAAAATTAAGAAATACCTCCCCCAAAAAAGAATTTTTGTTTTTGGGGGTTATATCTTATCAATATTTATTGTATTAGAAATTACAGTGTCTTAGTATTATTATGAAAATAGTTTCAACCTTTCAGACCCTATGAAAGGGTCTCAGAGACTCCCAGGAGCCCCAGGACCAAACTTGGAGAACTGCTGGTATGGTTGAAAGAATACTGGACTTGGAGTTAGGAAGACCTGGGTCTGAATCCTATGATGCTTAATAGCTATGTGGATCATGGGCAAGTCAGCTTGTCTAAGCCTCAGTTTCTTCATCTGAAAAGAGAAATAATAAGAGGACTCACCTCACAGAATTGTTGTGAAGATCAGTATGCAGATGGTTTTGCTAAATGTAAAGCACTTAAAAAAACCCATCCTGAATTTGGTGTTAGAAGTGAAAGGCACTGTCTCTCCTCAGTCATCCTCCATTGGCCATCAAGGTTGAAGGGAGGAGGGAGGAAGGGCAGAAGCAATGTTAACCAGATGAGCCTTGGGCAGTGGTGTGAGCCTTGGTGGCCCTGGGTGATTTATGAACCAAGACACCAAGTGAATTGACACTGAGAAGAGAGCCCTGATTGGTAAGAGTTTGACTATGCTGCTGTCATCCAGGTCATGGTAGGGTTCACCAGCTTAGGATGTACATAAACTAGTGATTTCATTAAAAAGATGTGTAGAGAATTCGTTCCTTCTAATCTATTGTGAAGTTTATAACCATGCTCATTCATTTGCTCGGTATGTCATTATTGAGCACCTTCTGCATGCAAAGAAAGGCACTGTGCTGGTTGGAGTGTAAGACTGTCCTTTTCTCTATGAACGGACAGACTCTGAGGAAACAAAAGAGCACAGTAATTTCAATAAAAGGCAATGCATAAAGGCCATGTGAGTAGTATAGGCAAGAATGTTCTAAAAATTCAGAAGAGGGGACAGTTCACTTCTGGCTAGGGTGATCCAGGAAGCTTTATGGAGGAGGTCAGGTTTTGAATGAGCCAGTTCATCTTGGCTCCTAATTTGATTGGGTTGTGGGAGGAGAGCAGATATCAGATGTATTTATCTTTCTTCATCTTACTTTGAAGGAGCACAGCAAGCGGCAGCCATGTCCTCTGTTTCCCCACCGACTCCCTTTCAGAATGTCCCTCCTGCTGTCTCCCAGACACCAGTGATAGCAGCAACTCCAGTGCCAACCATCACTGCAAATGTCCCATCTGTCACGGTCCCTCCCACTGTGGCCCCACCTCCTCCTGCCACTCCTATCATGCCCGTGGTTCCACCAACACCACCCGTAGTGAAGGTAAGCAAAAGCTGCTCCTTCCCAAGTCCCCAGACAGTAAGTTGTGGATAGACCTTGAGTAGATTCCATGGTGCTGCACCCTGTAGGCGTTTGAGGGTGGCCAGGCTCGGCAGGGAAGAATTACTGTCCTTGATATCTGGCTACAGACTTGAATGCCTTGGGTAATCTCATATGAGTCGCTAATGCTGTCTGTTTTTTTCTCTCTGCTTGAAAAAATGGGCCGTTGATATCAATATCTCCTGCCAGGGTAGGAGGATTGATTAATTCAGTCTTCCAGATAAGATCAACTCACTAAAATTTCTTCTGGCATGGATCTCTTTGCCAGCCCTTCCCCCAAAATTAATGAGTGTTATAGAATGTCATATCCATGGGGATGAGGAACAGCAGCCTGAAGAATTATTTTGGACTGGATCTGTGATTTCATCTATTTAGGGTACTCCTGGTGAGGAAATTCCCTTCACTGATGTATATTGGTACCTCCTTTGCAACATATGGAATTCTTATAGAATTGGCCAGGGTACTGAGAGGCTAAATGCCTTTGTCAGATTTACAGAACCAGTATAGGCTGGAGTTGGGACTTAAACTAGATATTTTTTACTTATTGGTCAGCTGTCTAACCATACTTTCATAGCTGCAAGCATTATCATATCCCCTTTTACAGAGGAGGAAACTGAGCCTCGGAAATTAAGTACCTTGGCCAAAAGCTACCCTGTTACTAAGTGTGAGCACCAGGACTTGACCCCATGGTTGCTGACTCCAAATCCAACAGTCTTTCTCTCCTACACCATTTTGCTAATGATAATAATAATAACAATAATACATGCACTACCTTCCTCATGGGGTTGTTATGACAGGATAATACCTTCTAAACTGTAAGACACTACAGAAGGGTGAACAAGTATCGTCTTCCTTCTCATCAATGTTATTATAATTGCTTGTAGTGATAATGCAACTCAGTTCAACATTGATTTATTAACACCTAGTTATGCCTGGCTTACAACTTAATAAAACTATCTGGTTCAAGCCAAAATGAATGTGCTGGCATAGTGCCAGATGGTATAGGGGCTCTGAATAAGCAGAAGGAAATCGCTGGCCTTAGGAGCTTACTGAGGTAGGGGAAAGATGCTTACTTATAGAACTTTCAGGCTAGCTGGAGATGTGGTTAGGAAACACTCCATTATATGATGATCATCCTTCTGGCCACTTCTGTTACCCACTGACACTCAGAATTCCAAAGTAAGCACAAACCTTTTTAAGCAGGGAAAGAAATAGTTGTCATGCTTTATCCTGTAAAAGGACAGGACAGCCACCCTTTAGCCATTAACAATCAATGTACTTAAAATCACCTGTTTGCTACATGTAGAACAAATATTGGGGATTTTGTAAGCTTAGTTATCTGCTTTCCCCTGGCAGCCTTCAGTTAGAAGTTTGCAAACAAGGACTTGAAATCTTAAATACTGCTTTTTAGCAGTTTATCTCTTAGCTGTAATCTGCAGACATTTGGGGTCTGTTAACCACTCTGGCAGAATCACAGAGTTCACAGGCCCCCAGTTTCACCTATTCATACTTTTTGCTGCAAAAGAAAAAACAAAAACACCTCACCCAAATGAATAAGAACTTTTAACTTTTGCAATTTGGATTGAGAAACCAGTGAAGGAGGTCACAAGGAAATTATTAATGTATTATATACACGGTCACATAGTATAAGAGACCAGCCTAGAAGCATCTCAAGGACTCTAGAAGACCCCAGCTCATCCATAGACCATCCTTTGAGAACCACTGCAGAGTGGCTCTTGTCTGAACTCTTAGCCTGAGACAAGAGAACTGTTTTCATTGTTCATTGCTGTCATTGTTCCAGGCTTCCTATGATCTGATCCTTCCCAAATTGTGATCCTTACTTTCTGTTGCTCCTTCCCATAATCCCTCTATTCCACACAGTCCAGTCTGTTCATCGTTATGTACTCATGCCAACCCCTGTCCCCATCTATTGCCCATCCCATTCCACTTCCCTCAGTCCTCCCCATCTATCAAACACAGTTAAAATCCTGCTTCTTCCCTGAAACTTTACCCAATTAGGCCTGTGGATGGTGATGGTTTCCTTTGAAAGTGTCTATAGCATTCATTTGGTGCTTAATATAGGCTATCTTGTGTTACTTATCCTTTTATAACAATAATAATATGAAAGAGTTAGCATTCCTATAGTGCCAAGTTTCACCAGGCATTTTACCAACATTGTCTCAGTTGAACATCACAATAACCCTGTGAGGTTGATATTGCAAGTGTTGTTATCCCCATTTTGCAGATAAGAAAACTGAGGCTCCACATAAGGAAGTGATAGCTTTTTGGTCTTTATAACAACTAATATGGACTGTGCCCTCATGTAGTTCATGGTGGAGAGCTAAGAACCCTGGTGAACCCCGATAGCTATTCAGATGTGGGCCCTTTTTTCTAAGAGAGTTCCAGAGATTCCACTTTTACAAAGTGGGCTGGTTTTTCTTCCAATTTTTTGTAATGCTTCATCCTGCATTACTTTTTACCTAGCAAGTGATCATGATCATTTCTGTTGAACTCATTGGGGGAAAAAAGGAGTGGCGCAGTGGAAAAAGTGCTGGATTTTGAGTCAGGGGACCCATGTTCCAGTCCCAGTTCTGCCTTTAGTACCTATGGGACCTTGGGTAAATCTCTTCCTGTGCATTTATCAAACACTTAACTATGTGTAGCAAATACCCCACTAAGCATTGAGGATGCTAATAGAAAAGCAGGACACTCTCAAGGAGCTCACATTATAATTGAGAGAGACAAGACATGTAAGAGAGTACAGTTGGAAGACAGATGGAAAGATTCATCTTCTTATTTTTTTTGGGGGGGCGAAGCAATGGGATGAAGTGACTTTCCCAGGGTCACACTGCTAGTAAGTGTCAATTGTCTGAGGCCAGGTTTGAACTCAGGTCTTCCCGAATCCAGGGCTGTTGCTCTATCTGCTGTGCCATCTAACTGCCCCCAAGATCCATCTTCTTAGAAAGCATCCCTTTGAAGATGCTGTCACAGTATTTGGTGTGCTAGGAGAATTTGCCCCTCTTCCCTGTGTGCTGGTGGATCAGCCTCTGCCCTCTCATCAGGCAATTACGTTGGCCTGTTCTGGGTCTGACAGCACGATGGGAGGGCAGATCTCACAGGAAGCATTGTTGGCAGGTGACTGCCTGCTCCTCCAAGTGGTTTGAGTAGGCATGTCTGCCTTGTAGACCAGTGGCAGTCAATATACCAACATTGGGAGGAGGAGAGTATGCTTACATTTTCACATCTGTAAAATAAGGGGTTTGGATTAAACCAGTGATGTGAGTGCCCTGCATCCTTGAACCCTTGGTTTTGTATTATAATTTTTAAGTCAGGTTTAACAACTACTGACAATCAGAGCAAGAAGCAGCTAATTCAGGTGAAGTCTTAGGAAGGAAACGAGGTCGGACAGTTTCAGAAAACCCTGATACTGGACACTACGTCTCAGTTTCCCGTCTCATAACATGGGAATAATGGGCAAAAAGCCCTTTGACATCCTGAGCCCACAGGTGCCAAGTTAATGTGAATTGTTATTAGCAATACATATTAGAAAAGCTCTTAAGATCCCTTTTATCTGTGATCCTATGTGCATTGTCATACTGGTAATGTTTTGTTGCTGTCATTCACAAGTCCTTCCCCTCTCTTCTTCTTTGTTTCAGAAAAAGGGAGTGAAGAGAAAAGCAGATACGACCACGCCGACAACCTCAGCAATCACCGCCAGCCGGAGTGAGTCGCCCACCCCGCTGTCAGACCCCAAACAGGCCAAGGTGGTCGCCCGACGAGAGAGCGGAGGCCGACCCATTAAACCACCAAAGAAAGATCTGGAAGATGGGGAGGTCCCCCAGCACGCGGGGAAGAAGGGCAAACTCTCTGAGCACCTCAAGTACTGTGACAGCATCCTCAAAGAGATGCTTTCTAAGAAACATGCTGCCTACGCCTGGCCGTTTTACAAGCCTGTGGATGCAGAGGCTTTGGAACTCCATGATTATCACGATATTATCAAACACCCCATGGATCTCAGTACTGTTAAAGTATGTGCCACGTCTAACGTGTGTCTAGCCCATTGGAGCTTTCTCTGACCTTATAGGCAGCTCCATGGGGTGGGTCAGTTTTAGGAAAAGGGATCTTGAACTTCTCAGAAATCTTTGCTGAAAGAATTGCCTTAGGCCTCCTGGGGCTGGAAGGGACCACTGACAGTCCATTCCCCTGCACCCAAAAATACTGGGTGGTTGGCTGGTGATCTTGTTTCCCTACAACCCCATTCTTTGAAACTGTCAAACCCCATTTCCTTCCTGAGACCTCAGCTGAATGAGCTGCTTCGACAGCTTCTTGCTCTGCCCGTCAGCTGTTGTTATACTACATGCTGGCAGGAAAGAATATGGCCTAAGAATTATAATGCAAGACTAAGGGTTCAGGGATGCAAGGCACTAATGTCACTGGTTGGCTGTGTGACACTGAACACTATGTCTCAGTTTCCTCCCTTGTAACATGGGGATAATTGAGAACAAAAAGCCCTTTCACAGCCTGAGCCCACAAGTGCTAAGTTAATGTGAATTGTTATTAGCAACATGTATTAACCATATATAGTTGCCACCTTCTGCCTAACTTAGTGCTTACCTCTTCTTGTCAGAAGGCCAGCTGTCTTCAGGCTTCCGGGTGGGGTCCTTGTCAGAAAGTGTAAGGAGTCCAGAGTTTTTTTGTTCTAGGTACACCCTACTGTGTTTAATGTCACAGATCTCCTGCTTATAGCCACATGAACCTGCCTTTCTGGTCACTGTTGATGTCCTGAACAAGCCAATAGTGGTCAGGCTGGGGCAGGACAGAGAGCTGGGGCAGGGTCCTGGTGGAGTCCATCTTCCATTTTTGCCAGGTGAAACAAGGGTCCTTTTTTGTTTGTTTTTTCCTTGAAATGAGGGTAGGAGCTATAAATTCTTTAGGGATTAAGTAGAGTCTAGGTCTAAGCAGAGAATAGGAATGAGTATATTTTTTAAATAGGTGAGCAAGAGTAAAGAGAAAATTGGATAAAAACAGAGGCTAAGGCCTCTTGGCTCAAACTTGGATTTTGAATTTCTTACTTTACTCTCGGTTAGTCTTCATGGAGTTTGAGCTATCTCTGACTTTGCTTGTTGACATAAATCTTGATTTTTTTTTTCTTCCTCCTGTACTTTGGCTAGAACAACAAATGAGTTTCTCATTGAGAACTTTTGTCCCCTGCAGCATTTCGGTTCCAGTGGACATCTTTCTAAGCTCCAGCCTAAATTCAATTCTGTTTTTGTTGCTCACGTTCTGAAGAATGCCATTGGCAATCGGGGCACTGAATGGCCCATTTCATGTGTCCTTTTGTGAGCAACTCTGGAGTGGCTATCTGAGCTCTGCCCTTTACAGAGGGGGAGTCATTGTCTTCCCTTTGCTGACCCATGGATCCTAAATCTTTAATCATAGGCCTTTGTGGGTCAGACTTATTTGACAGTAACTACAACTTGAACAGTGTTTTATCTTCTTGATGTTGCCTCTCAGTTTCTCAGCACGTACCTTACCCTTGTAAGTTCTGACCATGCTCTCCAAAATAGAGAAAAACCATATTTAATGGTTTAATATGCCATTGGGTGGAGTGGGGGATAGAGTAAACATCTACAATCTAGGTTGCTTTGGAGTGGGGTTTTACTGTGATAGAGTAATGGCTTCCTCTGTGGCATATCAGGTTCTACATTTGAACTGCTACGTAATGGAGGTCTACCATTTTTTAGGCTCTCTTGTAAGGTTGGTCTTGGTTCCAAAATCTGTTGCAATTATGTGATACTTGTTCACTGTCTTTGGGTCTTGGTTTTGCTTTTCTGTAGACGAAGCCCCAGATTTCCTCCCACTGTTCTAACTGAGGATGGCCCACTCAGGTTTCAGTTAATATTAGAATTTGAACATTCCCAAATCCCTGCTCTGATACTGACTTTGTGTAAGCTATTCAGTTATCTGGACCCTGATTTTTTTTCCATCTACAAGATGAGGACATTTCCTATCTTCTCCATATATCACGGGGATGTGAAAAGGGTGAATGAAATGATCGCTGGATCAGAGGGATTTAGAGAGTTCGTATAGTCTAACCCATTTGTTTGACAAATGGTGAGGCCAAGGTCCAAATTTGGGAAATGACTGCTCGCAGTTCATATAGCTGGTTAATGGTAGAGTGAGGACTGGAACCCGAAATCCAACTGACTCAGTTTTCAGCTCATGTTACAGTTTTGAGGCTATCAGAAGAGGCACATTATGTAGATATAAGGCAGCCTTAAGAAAGAACAGGTCTTTGGGGTTTGTTAGAAGCATAGAATAGCTCAGTCAGTCAAAAAGCACTTATTAAGTACCTACCATGTGTGCCAGCTTCCATGGATTTGGGTGGGTGAAATAATTTCCTCCAAAACATAAGTGCACGCATGATAGATGCCTGAAGTAACCTGTGAGGTGGGTGCTAATTCACCAAGTGAAGTGTTCTTGGATGTTTCTGCTTTTGTAGCTACAAAAGACAGCTCATACTGCTTTTCCCTCTTGTCTTTGCTACCAGAGCCCTTTAAAAACAGTGACAACCAAACCACTCTGTCATAGGGTGGTTACCCTCAAAACCCTGAGTTAACCTGGCAGGACATGGGTTCTTACACTAGCATAAAAGGTTTTCTTGTGGCTTTTGCAAGCCTCTGCCTCACATGCTTTTAAGAGGTAAGACTTTCATAGGAAAATGAGATAAAATGAGTTTGAAGGATCAGATTATTAGATATATTCAACACTCTTGCTTGCATCTGACTGTGGAGGTGGGAAAAGGGTTCTGGATTTGGAATCCTAGGTTGGAATCCCACATCTCCCACTTGATAGCTGTTAAATGACATTAGACATTAGAATGAGGGAGGTTGGACTAGCTGTCCTTTCAGGTTCCTTTCAGCTATAAAACCATGATCTTCTGATCCCTCAGTCCCAATTCTGTTGACTTGATGCCTGGTATAGAAAGAAATATTACTAGATGGCTTAGCATCCATCCTGCCTTGCCCTTGAAACCTATAGTCTTTAGACATGGATGCATGTATGCAGGTAGTCCTTTAAATTCTGTGGCCCTTGAGGTCAGAATTGAAGAGCTTTGGAAAAGTTGGGGTGGTTTAATTTTACAATTCCCTTTTGCATTTATTTAGGACAAAAAAGATTGACACGTCAGCTAATCCTAACTTTGTCACTCAACACATGTATTTAATCTTTAAAGTGTTTGTTCCTAAGCCACAAAAATGAGGAGGATGGTCAGGTTTTGACAAGAACCTGTGAATTCCAAGGATGCCATGAACATTCGCAAATGATGTTAGAAGTATCATAGTAACCTTTGTCATGACCATCCTTGCCCAGGTGGACAGTTACAGTTGGACACTAGAAAAATTACCGAATTAGCTTTAGGAAGTGGTTGATCTCTCTCTCTCCCCCCCCACCCCCAGCCCTCCTTTACACCCTTTTGTTATATGAATTTTCCTGGGCATTTGTTTTTGCACTGACTTCAAATAGGTTATTGCACTATTTGTTATTTGCATTATTCGTTATTGCACTGACTTCAGTGGGGTAATAAGTGAGTATTGGGTTTAGGCCAAAGCAAAATGTCATTTACTGTAACTTAGCCTAGGGATTTGAGTTGCTCTGGAAGCAAGGATAAGAAAGTATTGGAAAGCAAATTTACTTTTCCATTTTAATTGGTTTTTCAGAGGTTTAGATCTTTAGTTATGATGTAAGATAATGGACTGGCACTCCTTCTCCACCCCCCCAACCAATGAAACCAAATGAAATGATCCCTAAGCCATATTTGTTAACTATGACCTCAAAATCATAAAGGCTGAAAGAAGAAAATCTTTTCTTTTTTGTGTGTTTTGATGATTTAAAAAAATATTTGGGATAATCACATTTTGAAAACATAAATTTATAAAATAAGGGGGAAAAATGATAATAATCCATAAAGTCTGGGTTTGAGTTGAAGCTCTAAGGGACTTTTTGTCTGGCATGTGAAATCCATGAAAGTGATACAGGAAAAGTGCTGCTCTGAGACTTTTGCAAGCATCAGCTGTAAGGGGGCATATTTTCAAAGTGGCACCTGAAATCATAGGTGCATTTTTCATAACCAGACTATGGCACAAGTCCAGAATTTTTGCCCATATTTGAGCAATACATAAATGTTCAACTCAACACATAATCCAGTAATTTCTGCTTCACTTGCCTTTTGAATCATATAATCCTAGATTTGGAAGGGATCTTAGAGATCATTTTGGCAAATTCCCTTACCTAGCTCAGCAGTCTAATCTAGTGTCCATGACAAGTGGTCATCCAGCCTCTCCTTAAATACTTCTAGTGACTGGGAGCATGAAAGCAGCCTGTTCCATTGTTAGACAGCTCTAGCAGTGTCAGGAAGTTCTCCCTTGTATTGATCCAAAATATGCTTGCTTATAATTCCTAGCAGGTTCTAGTTCTGCCCTGAGAAGCCACAAAAATAAACCTAATCTCTTTCCTACATGACAACACTTTAGTCATTTAAAGATAGCATCATGCTCTACATAAGTCTGTCTAGCTCTCTACAAGTTTTGTTGTACATGAACTTTTGTCTTATAGTCTACTCTAGATTATCTTGTATTCAATCTGCTTTATGGATTATTAGTAGCATGTTTTAAATCCCAGTCCAGGGTATCTCCTTATTGTTGTATTTCCCCCCCATCATTGGGTGCAGACTCACTTTACTGGTCATCTAATCCAAATGTAAAGTCATTTTTGCTAAAGATTGATTGTTTTAACAAAATAAGCATTTTTGGGAATTTTTTTGGGTTTTTTTTGAGGAGGGGGGAAATGATCTATACTAACTGCCATTCCTCTAGTACAGAGAATCAAGAGCTGATGACTGTATTGACAGGTTGTTTTTGAAGTCTTAAAAAAATCTGTCTTTAGCCAATCAAAAAGGTTCAATTTTTCTGTGAGTAGTATAGAAATCAGTGTCATTTGGAGTCTGTCTGTTCCTGTCAGTATCCCTCGCTGACTGCATGGACTCCCTAAAAGTTGACAAGTAAGATGGATTTCCAAAAAAACAAACCCTGTTTGCCTATTGACCTCATAACAGCCAGAGGTTTGTTGTTGCTGTGGGCAAAATCACAATTTAGAGAGCTGAACACTTTGGCTAAGGAAGGGATTCCAGTTAGTAGCATGCTAGGAGTGCTTCTGCAGCTCTTTGCAATACTTGACCCTGGCTATTTCCTTCATTCCACCTTCAGATTTAGGAATTTTGGGGCAGTTAGGTGGCTCAGTGGATAGAGCACCAGCTCTGGAGTCAGGAGGACCTGAGTTCAAATGTGACCTCAGACACATGACACTTACTAGCTATGTGGCCCTGGTCAAGTCACTTAACCCCATTGCCTAGGCAAAAGAAAAACAAAAACAAAACAAACAGATTCAGGAATTTTTCCTAAATCTGGACTTCCCAACCCTGCTCTTAATTTCCCAGGACTCAGATCTCCATTTCCTCTTCTTTTTTTTTTTTGGTGGAGGGGAGGGAGGTGAGTATATTTACAGTGTCTAATAGGAGCTGTGCTACAACACCTACTTTGGCAATAGGTGCTGCCATCTAACACATGATATAATGACATTTTCTTAAGTCTGAGGATTCCAATTCTGTAAAATGAATTAGTGCTTTATTAATCCTTCTGCAAAACTAGTTGATTCAAAGAAAGATGTTATATCTCTTAATTTGTTTGCTATTTCAAGCTAAAACAGATTTATCACATCATTCTGTCAACTGAAAAAAATAATTTTGTGATACACAAATTCTTCTGTGAAAGTATGGAGGCATTTTTGCCTTTATGAGTTCTCCCTCAGGATCACAGCAGACCATGTCAAGGTAGCATCTCTGGCATGTTTCATATTTGTAAGTCTATAATCTTAGCAAAGTGAACTTAGGAAGAATTCATTTCTTGCTATTTTGCTTAGAATAAATCTTTGTTTATTTTGAGACAATCTAGAGAGGATAGCCTACCAGTCTTCCTTTTGAAATACTGAAATATATTGTCTGGGAACAAGAAGTTCAGGCTTAAAATAAAATTCTACTTTTATTTCTTTGGGAAGCCATTTAATGGATTGATCACTGGCCTAGGGGAGGGAGTTAGGGGATGTGGGGTCTAGTCCTGGTTCTTGAATAACTATTTTATTTTATTGATTTTGAACAAGATCTTTAACCTTTCTGAGCCTCAGTTTCTCCATTCTGAACTGAAGATAATATTTAGTCTTTCCTTATGCTGCTGGAATGCGACAAATGTGAACTGATAGATATGTAACTATTTCTGTGTATGTTAACTTGGATACATTATACTTGGATACAGATATGTAGCTAGAGCTATACAGCAATACATACACATCTGGTATTGCAATCTTGGAACACCTCAGAAGAGAGATTATAAAATCAAGACACAATCAGTTAGTTGCACAAATTTACCCTGTTTTGATTATGTGTTTGCAGAAGAAAATGGACAGCCGAGAGTACCAGGATGCACAAGGCTTTGCAGCCGACATACGGTTAATGTTCTCGAATTGCTACAAGTACAATCCTCCGGACCATGAGGTGGTAGCCATGGCCAGGAAACTTCAGGTAAAGCCATCAATAAAGACATTTTTTTCCCTGAAGTATGGAACAAAAGCACCCCTTTCCCCCACTCCCCACCCTCTAGGCTGAGGAAGAATATGTGCATGATACAAAAAGCACCCCTTTCCCCACTCCCCACCCTCTAGGCTGAGGAAAAATATGTGCATGATAGATCTAAACTTTGAGAGACATTTGCTCTGCCTATGCACGGGCCACAGGCTGAATAGTTAAGCAAAGCTGTGCTGCTTCAGAGATGGTAAAGTTCAGGAAAGGCTGAAGAAAAATGTCGCAAGGTTTAGTTTTTGTTAAATATATCAGTAGGTATTTTAAGCAACCTAGCTTTGCCCTGTACCTGATCTTAAGGGAGACGCTAAAAAATTGCTATTTAAGGTAGGGCAGTTGACCTCAGGAAGCTAGGAGACTGTATGACGTGGGAGAAAGTCTTTGCTCACTACAGGGATAAATCTCTGGCTCTTGGAAGGTATATTTACCCTTTCTGACTATCATTAGGCTTATCTATAAAAGACTAATGGTGCTGACCCTACCCATCTCACTGATTTGTGGTGGGGAAGGTGCTTTGTAAACTTTAAAGTGCTATTTAAATGTGTTGTTACTTTGATTTATGGAAAATTTCTTCAATGGCATCCAAGACCAAAATGGCAGCACCAGTATTTTAAGTGACACCTTATTAAAGCATACCTTGGTAAGTTTTACAGGAATTTGAATCTTTTGGGGTGGAAGTAGGGGAAAACATTTTCAGTTTTTCCTCCCTTGCCCTCTGAAGTGGTCTGTACAGTACTAGAATTTCTGCTCTTTAGGACCTTCTGCTAAGCCCCAAATGGAAACCAACTGAGATATTGGCAAGAGTCAACCAGACCTTTGGGAAATGAGATGCTATATTTCAGGTACCGCCTCTTTATGGACAGAGGAAATTAAAAGACATTGTTAGGCAAAGGACAATGTGATGCCTGGAGTACTTCCCATGTTTTCCCTAAATTTGGCCATAGCTTTCATACGTTAGATACCAACCTTTTATGTGCTTCATTAGGTGGGAAAATTGGCAGCACAGATAACACTATTACTTAAGACCTGGCACTACACAGAAAAACATAGCCAACACTACCCTTTTTTCGTAACTATACTCTCTCATTGGTGGATTTTCAGTCCTAAGCACTTCATTAATGCAGTAGTGTTTGGCTTTAAGGAAAGGAAACACATCTTTGATAATTTATCATTATTATATATCAGGTAGGGTCAGGAAAGGACTGATGTGCTGGGTGCATGGAAAGCTTTCAGCCAATAATCGTGGGTCAGTTGATTGATTCTAAAGGAAGAGAGACACTAATTTGGTTGTATGACTCTTGTAGACCAAATGACATTGCGTGGTGGAAAGGTAGTTGAAATAATCAGGTCAAGTTTTTAATTCTATGAAAAGTGCTCATTAGTAATAGGCCCAAAGAAGCAAATTAGTTGTGATTAGTAATGAATATAATTAGTTGTTACAATGGCTGGTTATAAAAATTGAGTGATAGAGATCAGATTCCAGTGTTTAGCAAAGGAAATGTCTTCAGTGAGATTTAAGGGATAGGAATAGCAATTGTGTTTTTTTTTAAATTTATTTAAAAATGACTAGATATCTGCAGAAGTCCCAAAGCCAGTAACCAAGTTAAAGATGAGGACTGGTAGTGATAAGTGTTTGTATTTCAAATATAGATTTTCTCATCCTATAGCTGTCTCATTGAATTTTCTTTCATCATTATTTTCTCCTCAAATAGCCCCTAGGGATCTCAGTGCTGCCCTAAAGGCATAGGCTGTAAACACTTTTTCCACCTGGAAGGAGGAAAGCAGAAATTGGAATATGATTAAAATATCTGAAATCATGAAGGACATGGAAAGGGAATGAACACACACTTGTTCACCAAGCCCTGTATTGTGGAATCCCTTTCAAACTAAAAGGACAAAGCGGTAGGACAGGCAGAAGTACATCCTCTTTGATACATCAGGCTGATGAGAAACTGTATGGCTCTTTACTCAAATATAGAGAATGATCAAGCAGAAAAATGTAAATTAGTTTGAGAAGGCTTCAGTTGCTTTCATGGATGACCAATTTTTGTAGCAGGTTGTTAAGGGCAGATGGTTTGTAAGTTCACTGAGTCTGGGGAGCATATCTAATTTCACAAGGCTCTGGTCCTTAAAAGGGCTAAGTATTCGCTAAAGTCATGAATAAATGGTTTTAGCACCCCATAACGTAGGGGTGGGGAACTTGGGACCTGGAGGCCACATGTGGCCCTCTAGGTCCTCAAGTGTGGCCCTTTGACTGAATCCAAACTTCACAGAACAAATCCTTTTAATTAAGGGGATTAGGGCCTAGGTTAGGGCCTAACCCTTGAGGTGACTTCATTTAAGGCAACTCGAATTCCCTGTAACCGTCCTTTGATGTCCCTCTCAGAGACAGGATCCTGAGCTAGAGGGACCTTGGTTCTGACACAGAGAACACTTGTTGATTTTAAAAGATATCAAGATAAGTTATCTAGCTAACCACAGTGAGGAGGCCATCAGGTTGAGTTGTTCAGTGCAATGGAGAGATGGTTCTGAGAAAGCTGAACAGGAGTGACAAGAACACCAGCTCCAAAGTAGGCTCATGGTAGGGCTTTAGTACCTTTTGAAACAATCTTTTTGCTAATCCTGCAGGACGTGTTTGAGATGAGGTTTGCAAAAATGCCTGATGAACCTGTGGAGGCCCCCCCTCCAGTACCCCCAGCTGCACCTGTTGTCAGTAAAAGCACGGAGAGCAGCCATAGCAGTGAGGAGAGTTCGTCTGACTCGGACAGCTCAGATTCTGAAGAAGAACGAGCCACTAGACTGGCAGAACTCCAGGAACAGGTAGGATGCATGGGACTTAAAAAGCTCAGTGAAGGGAATGTGTGCCTATGTGTGTAGGACAGGAGATGTTCAACCTACAATTGGAAATAAGTATTAAAAAAAAACCCATAGTATACTCATTTGGCAACTTGACAGAATAGAAGTCCTTTGAGAAAAGGGACATTTTTATTTTTTGGCTTCCTATCTCTAGCACACCTAGCACTGTGCCTGGCACACACTTAATGCATTTGTATGGATTGATATCTTATAGAGTGTCTGGACATTTCCCTTATTTGGTATGGAACCTTTTCTAGGAAAACAAAAGCATCCCACTAAGATGATCTGATTGCAAAGTTTGCTGAATAATTTACAGTCTTACATGGACATAACTAACTCATGTGGGAAGGGGACAAGAAAACATGCAAATCTAGGAGTCCACTTCACTGACGCTCGCTGGATCCCAGGCTTTATCTCCCTCAGGGAAATATCTGGAGAGGATGTATTTTCAGAGATTGTTTAGAGAAATGTAGTCTGCATATCTTACCTAGTTGAAAGCATGGTATAGTAAATAGAATGGAATTCAAATCAGGAAGACTTGGGTTCAAAATCCACCTTCAACACTTATTAGTCATGTGGCTGTAAGCAAATTACTTAATCTCTATAAGCCTTACTTTCTTCATCTGTAAAAAGGGAACAATAATACCCATAATACCTACCTTACAGGATTGTTGTGGGGTGCGTATGAGACAATGTATACAAAATGATTTGCAAACGGTAAACTGCTATGTAATGTCACTTGTGGGGCACTAGGTGGCGCAGTGGATCGAGTGCCTGGTCTGGAGTCAGGAAGAGTCTCCTTCCTGAGTTCAAATCTGGCCTCAGACACTTACTAGCTGTGTGACTCTGGGCAAGTCATTTAACTCTGTTTGCCTCAGTTTCTTCATCTGTAAAATGAGCTAGAGAAGGAAAGGGCAAACCACTCCAATATCTTTGCCAAGAAAACCTCAAATGGGGTAATGAAGAGTTCGACATAACTGAAATGACTAAACAACAGTGTCCATTATTGTTTGGTTTTATTATAAAATAATTGACAAAAAATGACTAAATACTAAATAACTTGCTGGTATTAGTTTTCCACCAGCATTTTTTCCTCTGATAGTTAACAATATTAGTTCAGAAGAACCATGCAGATTCTAACCAGTCATTTCCAGTCCAGTCAGCTCTGCCAGTGGTCCTCAGACATCTGCCAGTTTGATCAATTAGATTAGCAAGTACAAAGTTCTCCGCGCTTATTTTTGATGACTAGAGAGAAGGGTTTGGTTTAGGAGAGCAAAATACTGCCCTAAAGGCTTTTCTCCAGTTTATCTTTGAGGCCTGTCTCAAAATCATATAAGTTCTCTTAAAAGATGAAACAGTACAGTTTGATTCAGTGAAATATCATTTATTAAGCACCAGCTCTATGCAAAGCACTGTTGCTAGATACTGGATATGCAAAGACATAAATGAAACAGTCTCTACCCTCACAGAACTTAAAGTCTACTGAGGGTACATAATGCAGAGATAAAAATGAAAAGTGGTTTGGGGGGAGGGGATCAGACCTTGTGTAGGAGGTGGAATTTAGAGATTGCAATGGATAGAAATGAAGAGGGGAATATTCTGGGCATGGGGGACCACTTGTGTTGTTTCTTCCACTCCCCCCACAAACTGAATTAGTGAAACTCATATATTCTCCACCATTAGTCCAGCCTAGAGAGCTTCTCATTGTTAACCAGGGGCTATTCTCTAGGCTGTGCTAATAAACCCACTGTGGTTTCTCTACTGGCAGGGTGTGAATCAATAACCACAAGTTACATCTTTGAAATATGTTTGGGAGGTGGGGAAACCCTAGTAATTGTTATCAGTAGCAGTCATGACATGGGTCACCATAGGGGATGGGTCTAAAGAGTGCTTAATCAGCAGCTGCAGAGGCATGCATGCCCACCCTTCTACAAACCACATTCAGAAGGGGCACGGGAAGCTGACTCAAGGCCTTGGTTATATTTAGTCACTTACATTTCTGACCAGTGATAGATGGTTTGCAGTTTTTTCCTTATAACCTGGCAAGTTGGCCTTGTAGGATAACTTTCCTCACTGTGCTTTTGTAAACCATTCAGTGTTATGTGAATGTGAGTTATTAGTTCGATTATCTTAAGCAATTATTAGACATGCTTGTCTCCTATTTTATGGGCTATTTAAAGTCAAGGACAGCTAGGTGGTGCAGAGGATAGGGCACCAGGCCTGGAGACAGGAAGACTCATTTTCCTGAGTTCATGTCTGGCCTTAGATACTTACTAGCTGTGTGACCCTGGGCAAGTCATTTAACCCTTTTGCTTCAGTTTCTTCATCTGTAAAATGAACTGGAGAAAGAAATAGCAAACCACTCCAGTATCTTTGCCAAGAAAACCCCAAGTGGGGAGTCACAAAGAGTCAGATACAACTGAAAAATGACTGAGCATACATACATTTAAAGCAGATTGTAGAGAGGTCATTGCTTTCAGTTATGACCAAAAGGGATATGGGTTATGCCTCAGGCAGACCTTCCATGATGGGGAGGAGGGCATTAGATGGATAGGTTCCTAAAACCAGCATTTGAACCAGCTCCCCCATGCTGATGTGTAAGGCTAAGGGAGAGTCTTAACTCTCTAGGATGGTTTAAATGCAGATCTGCCTAAGGCAGGGGAATCACAATAGTCATAAAAGAGACTCATTTATTTGGTACTTTAAGGTTTATAAAACATTTTCCTCGCCATAACTCATGGTTAGTTAACTGCTACAGTCTTATCATCCTCTTTTTACAGCTGAGGAAACTGAGGTTCCAAAAGGTAAAACTATTTATTCTGTAGGTGACACAAATAAAGAGCAGGGCACCAGGATTTGAACCTAGGTCTCCTGGCCCCTAAATCTCACAGTCTTTCCATTACCTCATTCTGAATGAAGGGCCTTTGAAAGGGGTTTCTAGCCCAGGAATTCTCAGAAGTTATAATCCAAGTTCTCGTTAATTTCTTCTTCCCCATAGACTTTTGCTAGGAGTTCTCCTCTCAATGCCTTCTCCTCCCTGCTCTCATTTCTCCTGGGTATTGTCTTTCAGCTGAAGGCAGTGCATGAGCAGCTAGCTGCTCTGTCACAGGCTCCCGTGAATAAACCAAAGAAAAAAAAAGAGAAAAAAGAGAAAGAGAAGAAAAAGAAGGACAAAGAGAAAGAGAAGGAGAAAGAGAAGCACAAAGTGAAGGCCGAGGAGGAGAAAAAAACAAAGGTGGCTCAGCCGACCAAACAAACCCAGCAGAAGAAAGCACCAGCTAAAAAGGCCAACAGTACAACGACAGCAAGCAGGTACGCTCCAGGAGGGTCGCGTTCTCAGATACGGGGCTGGAGTCTGGGCCCATGGCATTTATCTCTACCCAGGCCATCTTGAAGGCCCCAGCCTTTGGAGCTTGAAGAAGCTGCTGAACTTCCTTGTGACTGCTTGTCCAGAAACAGTTCTCTTTAGAATCAGCTGAGCGAGCATTTATTGAGTGCCTACTGTGTATAAAAAGTCATGTTAAGAACTGGGAATAGAGAGACAAAACAGTTGCTACTCTTGAGCTTATCTTCTAATGAAGATGGTGGGATCTAATTTCTAAACAGATAAGTAAATACTAGATAATTGGAGGAGAGAGAGAGAATGCCAGCAACTAGAGGGAGTCGGGAAAGTCTTCCCCTGTGAGTCGGCAGCTGAGTTGAGCCTTGAAGGAAACAGAGGATTGTGAGAGGCAGAGGTGAAGAGGAGGCAGTGCATTCTAGGCAAGATTTAGGGGTCCAGGACAGGAGGCTGCAGGTGGAAGTTAATGACCAGCTTCGTCCAGTTTAATTCTAACACGGTGTGTGTGAGCGAGAATGATGTTTTCGAGCAGGGATATGACAGGGTCAGATGTATGCTTTCGGAAGATTATTTTGGAAGCTATGTGGAGGGTAGGGGAGGCACAGGGAGAGAATGGAAGAGCGATGGATCAAAGAGGTCTAGTTGAGATGGTGAGACCCTGAACTACAGTGGTTGTCATACGGGTGGAGAAAAGGGAGTGGATGTGAGTTTGTGGAGGAAGAATCAACAGACTTAGCAACCAATTGGCTATGGGGAATGAGGGAAAGAAGAGTCAAAGACAACCGCAAGGTTTTGAATCGCGGTGATCAGGAGGACGGTGCAGCCTTGACAGAGACAGGGGAGGTTTGAAAGAGGAGGACTTTTGGGAAGGCAGATGATGAGAGTTCCCTTTTTGGATGTATTGAGTTTCAGATGCCCTTGGGCTAGGCTGAAATGGCTAGGAGGCAGTTGGAGAACCAGGCCTGAAGTTAAGGTGTGAGGTGATTGCTGGATGTATAGATTTGGAAGTTATCCAAATAGAAATGATGAATGAACACAAGGGCAGAGATGAGGCTGCCAAAGAAGAGAATATAGAGAAGGAATAGGAGAGGGCCTGGGGTAGATGCTTGGGGGTAAGCTGTGCCAGTCTAGCAGGATCCGTCAAAGACAACTGGGAAATGGACAAGAGAATGAACCGAGAGAGAGCCTGTGTCAAGGAGGCCAAGGGAAGAGAGGGGTCAGTCCAAAGTATCAGAAGCTAAAAACCAGTGAAGGAGGAAGAAGATGAATAAACCTGTCGAATCATTTGACACAGCAGTTTCAGTTGAGTGGTAGCCAGATTACAAGGAGTAGAGAAGTTAGTGGGTGGTAAGGAAGCAGAGGCAGCAAATGTAGATGATTTTCTAGGAAGTTAATAATGAAAATGGGGAGAGATATAGAATGATAGGTTGAGGGGATAACAGGATGAAATGAAAGGGCCTTTCATTATGGAGGTGATGAACACATAAGCAGCAGAGAAGATTGAAAGATTGAGATTGGGGGGGTAGAGAAAGGGAGAGAGAGATGAAGAGAGGGAGAGAGGGGAAAGGGATGAGTTCAATGAAACAGTTCAATGAAACAGATGGAGGGAGGTGGTCTTGGCAAAGAGAAAGATCACTTCTTCCTCTGAGACTGAAGCAGAGGAGGAGAGGATGGGTGATGAAGTTGGATTTTGAGGTATAGAGTAAATGAGGCAGGGGAGCTCATGATGCTGGCCTTGTAGGAAATGAAGTTCATCTGATTAGAGAGATGGCAGTGAGGGGGTTGGGGACTTGAGTGGAGGTTTCCAAACATTCTTTCTGGAGGATGCTGTAGAAAATAAGTTAGAAAAGAATGAATGGGTGTGGTGAAAGCCCAGAGTAATATGACCAGAGAAATACTATGAATTTGTATTGGACCCAGTTGGCATAGTTGAATACTTTCCTCAAACAACATTCAGCAATTCAAGAGTAGTTGCAGGGAAAGTGGGTGGTGGGGTGACTCTCAGGGTTGACGATTAGCAGGGCTTGAATGGTAGTAGTCCAAGGGATCAGAGGATTCAAAGATGGATGATAGTACACAGTTGAACTGGCTAACTGGTCAAGACAATGAAGGGAGGAAAAAGAGATCTGGAAAGAGAAGAAGTATGATGGACTGGAAGAAGAGAGGGGGCCTGAGGGACTGGAGATTGGGGTGAGGAGAGATTGAGCTTTAGAGAAGGGAAAACAATTGCCCAGCATCACACAAGCTAATAAGTGGCAGAGCCAGATTGAAAATGGGAGCTTGGTTGTTTCCAAATCTAGTGTATTTTCCATTGTACAAAAGATGCCTCCCTATGACCTATTTATTGACACAGCTCTGATCATGAGGACTGCTAACCTATAGGAACTAACAGAGACCTAGGTAGTTTAGAGGTTTCAGGGGGATGTGGTTTTTTGTTTGTTTATTTTATTGTCTTGGGCTCCTTTCTAGAGTTGGGTCAAGGATTAGGGTAACGAAGGAAGGGCAGTTGTCCTTTCTTTTGATCCAAGCAACATTACAGCGTGGTGCATTTTTACCCAAGTGGCTGGGTCTTATAAATATCTCTGTGTAAAGAGGCAGCATAGTGTGATGGATGAAAAGCTATCCTTGAAACTAGGAAGCCCCGAGTTCAAGACCTTTCTTTGGCATAAACTGGTCATATTACTCTGGGTGAGTCACTTAACCTCTGAGTACTCTGAAGCTGCTTTTTTAAAATGATAAATTACAGAGAAGGCACCAGCTAGGAAACTAGAGAAAGTTTCTTCACATGGGAATTTCATATCCTAGAGAAATCACTGGTGTAAACCTTCTCCCTGTGAAATAATTATAAATACTTATACAGACACATGTATATACACACATGGTATGTGTGTTTATATATGTAAATGTGTGTATATATGTATGTACGTGTATATACATATATACATATGATATATGCATGGATGCACACCCACGCATGCGCGCACGCATGCACATACACACACACATGTATATAGTGTGTATATCCCCATGTAGAAAACCCATTCTCTTCCTGGCCATCTGCCCCCAAGGCTAATGATCCTGTTGGTCTCAGCCATTCTTCCAAACCAAACTTTTAGGTTTCTTGGTTCCTTCTTCTTACAGTGCTGGAGATCTCCCTGTAGCCACACAGAGGACTCTGCCATGTAGTACAGGCACTTATTGGCGGTGGGGTTTAGCAGGAAGAGTATTTGATTTCACAGTCACAGGACTGCTACTTACTTGGGCTCACACTACTCCCTTGCCCTCTCTCCTTTCTGAGCCTCATCAATAAAATGAAGGGATTGGCACCAAGGATCTCCTAAAGGCTCTTTCAGCTCCAGTGCTTTGACCCATGATCGATTATGCTTGTTTGTTCCCCTCTGTCCACTGACACATACTTTCAGAGCAGGCAGAGCCATCAGTTCAGTGAGGTGGGCTGAAAGAGGAGTCAGGAGGGTGGGAGTGTAGATGAAGGCAGAGAGCTGCTGTCACTTTCCAGTTTCTTGTCACACCAGGATACCATTTACCCATATGACTAAGACCTTCTGACTTATAGTACAGAAGAGTTTGATCCTTAATGATGAGCAAGCTGCATTTAAACCAAATCCTTATTCCCTTTGGGAAGTCTTCTCAAAGCAGAAATTTTGATGCCTCCTGTGACATTTTAGTATGACTGTGTTGTACATATTTCTCTCTCACATAGTCCTTGGTTTCATCTTTTGGGGATTATTCCAAGCATCTGATAAGAGACCACTGTGGTTGGGCAGCAACCAGATGTGTTCTAGGACCAAGAGAAGTAGATTGAATAATAGGATTTAAGGTTAGAAGAGACCCCTGAGATGTAGTCTGACTCCCCAGGTTAGAGAACTAAAACTCAGAGAGGGAGCATCATCCAGTCCAAGTGCCTGCCCTGTACTATGTGCTGTGCTAAGAGCCGAGGACACAAAGAAAGGCGAAACAGTAACAAGCATTCAGGGGCTCGCAGTCTAATGGAAGAGGCAATATGCAAACAGCTCTGTACAAACAAGGTGTAGACAGGAGACACTAGAGACAGTCAACAGAGAGAAGGCACCAGCACTGAGGGGGATTGGGGAAAATTGCACAGCAAAGATTCTAACTTGAGGATTTTGATTCCAAAGCCCATTGCACCACCCTGTCAACCATTAATAGGAGGTTATGCACCAGCCAGAGGTGTACTCCGTCAGCATCTGGGGAAAGGCAGACCGGACTCATGATGAGGCATCAGAAAGACATGGCAAAGATTAAGGCACATCTAATTAACAGCAGGGATGGAAAGGTTAGAGAAGCCTTTCAAAGACACCAACAATCAGAACACTGTGAAGGTGAGCTTGATACTCAGACAAGGCTTAGTCCTGGCCACAGGCTGATCTGTTCTTATAGATTTTGTGTGGGGTAGAACTAGTACCCGGGCTCATATCTGGCTGGAAGGTGTTATAAGGTACATCACGTTAAGATAGGTGCTGATGATTCCTGACTAGTGGACTTTGTACATTCTCAGGGTAAAATGATAAGACAAGTAACTCTGGGAGCACTGGATCCTAACCATGCGAATCTGTGTGTCCTTTCTACCTCCAGGCAACCTAAGAAAGGTGGAAAGCAGGCATCTGCCTCTTACGACTCAGATGAAGAGGAAGAGGGTTTGCCGATGACCTATGATGAAAAGCGGCAGCTCAGCCTAGACATCAACCGGCTGCCCGGGGAGAAACTGGGCCGGGTGGTCCATATCATTCAGTCCCGGGAGCCTTCCCTCAGGGACTCCAATCCTGATGAGATAGAAATTGATTTTGAAACTCTGAAACCCACCACTTTGCGAGAACTGGAGAGATATGTCAAGTCATGTTTACAGAAAAAACAAAGAAAACCATTTTGTAAGTGACTGATTCCCTACTAATCCTCTTTCCCTCTCTCTTACCCATTGGCCCAGTTACTCCCCATGGCCCTGGGGGGACGGACCTTACTCTGTTTCAAGAGAAAATGAGCAAGTGGTTATGTGCCCTGTTCCTCCCACAATGTACCCTAGCCCTGACTAGAAATCTCATCTCCTTCACTTTATTCTTTCTCTTTGCTTTCTCATTTATACCCCCAGCCCCAGGGTGCTGGCAGGAACCATTCCTGGCGGGCCATTGGGTTTAATATAGAATGTTAGTCAAGTGTTTCTGAGCCCCATACTGCCCATGAAAGCCTGTCTAGCTATTGGAGTTGAGAGGAGTTTCAGCCCCTACCAGGTTACTCTGCTGCCAGCCAGCCGGTAAGCCAGTGCTTTTGAATAAAAATTAGGAGCCTAAGCCATACTTTTGGGTGCCAGAACTCAGACCTTTCTTGACATGTGTCAAGAAGCAGGGCTGCTGTTTAGGTGGGTAGCTCCTCTGTGACCTTAGCAGGTGAAGATTCCCTCCCTTTTCCCTCATTTAGGACTTAAAGTTTGTCTGCCTACATCTGGGCACCTTGAAGAATCCTTACACTGTACCTCCCTTCCCAGCTCCATGACTGTTGACCATGCTGGACTTGCAGAAGCAGTGGCACAATCTGGGTTTTGGCTTTTTGTTGTATTGAATATTTCATAACTACTTCCTCGTGGAGGCCAGACCAGTTTTCCGTCTAGTTCAAGATCCTGCTTTTGACTGGGGCCCCAACCAGCTGTTTCAAAGGAAGGTCCCCCATGCTACTCCATGTCGTTCTTCTCCCCTGCTCCCTTTTTCCCTTCCTCTCATGGGAGTCATTGCTTCTTGATCTTGGCTGGTGATCAGTGAATGAACGGTCTGGATCACAAGGACTGATGGAGCCTTAGTGGTCCTGGGGAGTGTGAGTACATATTCAACCCATACTGTGTCTGTCTGCTGAGACAAGAGGTGAAACCCTAGAGAGCCTGGGCTATAGTTCCATTTCAGAGGTGGGGAGAAAAAGCAGCAGGCTGTGCTCTCGTGTGTGTAGGCATAGCTGTGTGTCTTCACAAATAAATTCACACAGGGTATGAAATAACTTAAAGCTTGGGGGCAAATGGAATTTTCTGAACATGTTAGTGGGATAGCTTATTTTTACCAGAGCAGAAAAGCCGAATCACAATTCTGAAACCACAATACAACTATTGACCATTTAACTGCGTGGTAAGTTACTTTTTTAACTATGTGGTTAATTACATGGGTATTTTTTATTTTTTAAGACTCTGGACCCTGATGTTAGAACAAAAGCTACAGAGGAAAGTGAGTTTATCCCAAAGCCCGAACTATTCCTGTGAGTCACTTTAAGGACTCTTTGGTTACCCAAACATCCAGAGAGCCCCATAATGACCATGCAGTAACACAGCAGTGATCAAGTTGCATGGCTCTGGGTCCCGTAAAATGAATACTATCCTTGCCAGGCTTCTGCTTTGCATCGCCCCCTCCAATGGACAAGTCTCAGACATTATATATTCCTTCACAGCTGCAACTGGGAAAAAACAAGCAGCAAAATCTAAAGAAGAGTTAGCTCAGGAAAAGAAGAAAGAGTTAGAAAAGAGACTACAGGATGTGAGTGGGCAGCTAAATAACAACAAGAAACCTGCTAAAAAAGGTACTTGGCATTTTCTTTTCTTCAATGGAGAACTTCATCTCTGCTGGAGAGGACTTTTCTGAGGGAGGGCAGGGTGGAGAGAGTGATGCTTGGTTGGGTCATAGGGGATCAGATGTCAAGGTTCCAACCCTTCCCTCTCCATTGCTCTTCAGACTTTAAACTGGTGATGAGGCAGAGCAGAAAAGGGGGTTTGAAACAAATTGCTAAGGGCTAAGCCTGGATTTCTTATAAGCTGAGTTATATCAGTTGCCCACTCCAGATTACCAAGAAGATTAAATTTGATTCTGTTATGATTTGGTGGTAGTCACAGAACCACTGGTCAGGTATAAAGATCCATTGTGGTGTTTCTTCTTGTCAAATAGTGGGATCTCTAAGAGATTATAAGGTAAGACTTGTGTCATAAAGACACAAGAAAAATGCTCTTATTTTTAAATCCCTAGAGGAGACTCCACGAGCCCCCTGTGGATAACTCCTCACTTAGTGCCAGGGAGTGGTTCTTTTTCTCTAACTCCTGAAGGGTGTGGCTTGTTCCCATACCCTTCTTACCTTCATCTTCTAGGTAAGTGGATGAGCTCCTCAGCCTTCCCTTATTTTCTTTTTTCAACTTTTTAGTGATTTTTTTTTTAGTGATTGGGATCACTAAATAAACCCTCCCCCAACCTAGGTTTTTATATCCTTCAGATTATGGAAAATAGCTTTGGACAGTATCCTAGAAAGAGCCTGACAAGTACTGTTGCATTCCTACCAACTCTGTTCTTGTGTAATTTTTTTTTAAAAGTTCTACTCCTTTTATTTCTCAAAAAAAAAAACTAGATTGCCAGAATGTGGTTTATTGTGCACTGTGTCCCAGTGGTTCTCCCATCTTGCATCCTGTGTACAGGGTGTGTGTGTATGTGTGTGTGTGTGTGTGTGTGTGTGTGTGTGTGTGTGTGTATGTAAACTTGTAAACCATGAAGTCAGTAAATTTGAGAACCCCAACATATAATAATGGTGCTCTGGATCCAAAAGGCACTTGAACAAATGAATGGCTGGCTGGCTGAATGAATGAATGAATGAATTCTAACCCACTGCATATTCCCGTCAGAAAAATCTGGTTCTGCTCCCTCTGGAGGTCCATCCCGTCTTAGCAGCAGCAGCTCCTCAGAATCTGGAAGCAGCAGTTCAAGTGGATCCAGCTCTGACAGCAGTGACTCAGAATAAACTCTGGACTTTTAAAAAGAAAAAATGGACATCGCACACAACAATAACCCTGCAGTGTTCCCTTCTATGGTTAATATACTACTTTTGTTCCATGGTGTGCAGGTTTTCTTTTTTGATTCAGTGTTATAAATGATATCTTCCAATTTTTGCTTTAATAGGTCAAGGATCTTTTTTTGTGTGTGTGTATTAGACTTTATGAAAAAGAAGTTAACTCTGCATAAAGTCTTTTTAATCTTGTCTGAAGCTGATTGCTTGGAGATAGCAAGAACTTCATACTAATGATATATACCCATAGAAAAATCTTCAAGATGTGGTCTAAAAGTTCTTGCAAAAATCCTTTTTCTTACACCCAACCTGGTCTTCAACCCCAGAAGGAATTTTTAAGGAAACTTCTGTAAAACGGTACTGTATCTAAAAGATGTTAGCTTTGGAAATAGTCGTTGTATTTGTTATTAGCACTAGTATTCTTAACCTCAAGTCTACAGTGTGATGAAAATATCCAATGCTATCATCTTTTTTTTTTCCCCCATAAGCACGCTCATGCGGTGGATGATGACAATGTACCTGTTTTGTGAGAACCAGGGCTGGGTTTAATCAAAAGGGAGAGAGCTACAGCTCCAAACCTGAGAATTGAGCGGGTGTGGGGTGGGAGGATGGGTAATGGGGTGTGGATACTGAATTTTTCAATCCTTGTGACTATGGGAGCTCCTAGGAGGGAACACCACTGCTGTGTCATGCAGAGTGCAGGTTTCCAAACACTGAAACTTTTACCTCAACACAGAAAAAAAAAAAGAAAAGAAAAAAAGGAGACTTTTTTTGTAAGGCTCAGCAATTTTCTATGACAGTCCAGCCTAATGCATAACCTGCACTGCTGCAGCGCACTCCATAACCATTCTCCCTGATTTCATGTATATATAAATACTTTATTTATTAACATCATTGGTCGTTTTTAAGAAAAATAACAACAAAGAAACTGCATAAAAATAACAGCAGAAATGCAGACCTTTTTAAATGATTTAAACAAAAGATAAGACTCTGAGACCCTATTTAAATATGTTGGACTTTTAACCTACAGGTGCTACAGTTTCCTGTTGCCTGTGTTGGTGCTCAATCATGTTTATGTACTCTTCTTCTTCTTCTTCTTCATCTTCTTCCTCTTCTCCCTACTACTACTACTACTTTTTTTTTGGGTTCTTTCTGTACAGAGTTTAGAGACTTACAGGTATAGGTAACTTCCAGCTGCAGCACATTTAAAAAAATTTTTTTTTTTGGTTAGTTTGTTTTTCCTCTTTTTTTCTTTTTTTGGTATTTGCCACAGGTCTCTTTGGGGCAGTTTTAAAATAAATCAATTTAGGGAACCCCCAGTTATATAATATAAACTTTGTAATCTGAGAAAAAAAATGTATAGTAAATCGAAGTCTTGATTTTTAACTTTTTATTGTAAAAAATAATAATAATAATAATATACAGAGTTTAACAGAAGGTTATGTTTTGTTTTTGTCTATCCAGCAGGCTGCCACACAGCCTTTAGCACAGGGATGCCCCAATTTGCCCAGGTGAGGGTCAGGTGTTGGCAATGGGCTAAGAATGAAAGGGTCATGCCCAGCTTGTATAAAAGTGGTAGTCCCTGCCCTCCCCTGGCCTTTGGCATGATGATGTGGCCCCCAGAGGCTCCAAGGTCCAGGCTTCTAGCAATGGAGGCAAGAAAGTCCTGCACCGTGGAGACCCAGGCCCACTCCAGTGCTTCTCTGTGTTTGGAGGAGGTTGTCCCTGGACCCCTTCACATGCCTCTTTAGGCCCCACTGTCACTCCCTGCTCCAGTGTTTTCACTTTAGCGCAAAAGTTACTGTATCAAAGCCTAATTTTCACTTAGCTTCATGTAATAAAATCAGTGAATTGAGTATCAGATGGGAACTGATGTATGCCATTCAGTGGTTGGACTATTTTTTCATGGATCTCTAGGTTATATCCACCAGCATTTCAGTGGAATCTTCATATGATATACTAATTTAGTAAGGAAAACTTAAAAAAAATCTCCTCTGACTCTCTCATCTACCCTTAAGTTTTGTCATACTGTGATGAGGAAATGGATGAAGGAATATTGGTTGCTAACTACTGGGTTTTTGGTTTGTTTTGATGATGTTTTTTTAATTAACATGCAAAAGGGAGTACTGAGCCAGTTTACTAAAACTTTTATTCACCTTTATTCTACTAGAAATAATTTTTTAGTTTACCATTTTATAGTTTTGCCCTGATTTTAAAAGATATTTTATAAAAAGATTTAAAATATATATTTGAACTATTACTTTGAGGGAATGAATAGACAACTAAATAAATCTTAAATATGGTGTGATTTGTAACATCTATTAAATACAGAACAAATCACACATTGTAGTGTGAAATATATACTGCAAAAATATCAAGAGATATTGAGAGTAGTGGCTTCTTATGAGCCCTTATTTTGTGGCTATAATCACTAATGAACAAAAAATGAAAAAGTTTCACTTGTGTGAAAAAATGAGATGGGGGAAAAATCTACATAATCCTGAAGATAAGTGAAGGTGAAAAATTTCATAGCATTTCATTATCAATTAGTTTTAAAAGGGTAGGGATCTCTTCTAAGCTAATGAAATTTACTCCTTTATCCAGAAAGAATCTGTTGACTTTGTATTTGCCTCATGGCATAGTCAACACAAAAAATGAAATTTCATGGGGCTATAGTTTTAAAAATTTATGTCTTCGCTGTTTCAAACTGCAAAACTGATTTCACTTTTTTTTTTTCTGGGCGAGGAGAAGAGGGTACCTCCCAACAAACCCAGTATCAGGTTGTGGGTTATTTACCATTTCCTCTGTGGTAAGAAAGACTGCAGTTATCTAATTAGAATCATTCTAGTACTGAAAACTGTAGACCAATTTTAAATTTTCACTTTTGTGGAAAGATTATTTTTAAAAGCAGGATGGGGTCAGGGAGGCACTACAAAAAAAAGCTTTTTAATAAGGGGTCGAAAAAGGACATAAAAGCTATTCTAAAATATAAATAAAACCATAGAGGCTGTGGGGCAGGCCTTATATAGAATTCATAATTTACTTAGAGAAAATTTCTCACACTGGGCAGCATTATCTTGCTTTTAAACTGTAAAGATACATTTTTACAGCATTTACATCTTTTACAATTGTTTGGAGAAAAAAGACACAAAACCAACAATGTAGGATTTGACACGTACAGTTTTAGCGCTATTCTGTGATACTGGCATAACACTTCCAGAAAGTTTTTCTTTTTTATATTTAAAATGTTACTTTTCTGTATGATGTGCATGCAAGTTTACCGTAACTCTTTTCTTAAACTTTTTAGTGCCGTTTCTAGTATATTCCTGTAAATGTCAGTTACTGAAAATGAGTCAATGTAAAGTAGTTTTAGCTTGTTTATTGCAATGCTGGCCTCAACACAACTGAATTTAAAAAAAAAAGGTAGCAAGTACTCTTTGATGTTACTGGTAATCATGGACCCTCCTCCTGGGGCATTTGTTTTGTTTTCATAATAAACAGCAACAAAAAAGTGTTCTTGTGTGCTTCTTCCTGTATTCAGTCTCCTTCAGCTTCATATGTTCTTGACTTCAGTACTTCAAGGAGCTGTAACACTGTTAGTGTGGATACTTCCTTCACCAATGCAGATCACTACTTTTCTGTGCCTTCTCAGATAGTCATAATGAACTGCTATGGTTGAAAAATTCACCAACTTGTGGTCAACCTGGTGAACTTTTTCCTCTTTGACCTTCACTAAAATGGTCCTTGAACAATAGGCAGAAAGTCTGTTTGTCAGGTCCCTGAAGTTTTTTTTTTTTACTTGGATCTGTCCCTGTCAGAACTTGGGCTCTGGTGATATAAAATGCCTAGCACCCAGGGTTACTTCCCCGCCATAATGACACACCAAAAGAAAAGGACATTTAACAGCACATTTTATCCATTTCATTCAATGCTAAAAACATCATTGATAATTACATAAGTGCACATATGGACACTTCATTAATGTTCGTACCCTTATGATCTTTCTACTTAAGGCCAGATTCTATTATTCCATATGAAATTAATGGAAGATTTTTTTCCCCTCTTAAAAAAAAGTATACATTTTGTTTTGGCACAAGAGACACAAAAACCTAAACCTTTTTACAAAGAATGTTCCCTCAGGATGGAGTTTTTATTAACAAAAGGAGAGAAATGTCTTTTATGTTTCATAGTAGAGAATAATATTGCATTTGACAAGTTTTGTTCTTCTCAATGTCGACTTTGAAAAACATTTCAATTGATATGCCTTTTTCTCCTGCCTCCCCTTTCCATTGGAAAAAAAATACCCTTTTAATAAATACGCATTGTGAAGCAAAACAAATTCCCATATTGGCCAAGAATGTCTCATTCTGCATCTTGAATCTGTCAGGAGGTAGATAGCATGCTTCCATACAGGTACTTTGGAATCACTGCTGGTCATTACATTAAGTCTTTCAGTGTTAGAATGTTACACTAAAAATTGTTCTGGTTCTTTTCACTTCACTATATCAGTTCATATGTCTTCCCAGGTTTCTCTAGGTTCATCTCAAACATCCACCAGATTGACAGATGCTGCCATTAAGGCCTGTCCTGATTTACAAACCCCTACCTTTCTCCAGGCTGTGGCAAAGCCAATTTATAGGCTTTGTTACTGGCTTTTCCATGCCTGTGCAGCTCAATCATGCTACTTTGTGCTAGTACAGTACTGCTTGCTTAGCTCATTGAAATCCAGATTTGTCTGCAGAACACAGTCAATATGTCCCATAGGACATTGATGGACAGTGATGGTGACTTATTTGTTATTCAGTCATTTACAGTCATGTCCTACTCTTTGTGACCCCATTTGGGGGTTTTCTTGGCAAAGACACTGGCGTAGTTTGCTATTTTCTTCTCTAGCTCACTTTACAGATGAGGAAACTAGGTAAACAGGGTTAAATGACTTGCCCAGGGTCGCCTAGCTAGTATCTGAGGCCAGATTTGAATTCAGAAAGATGCGTCTTCCTGACTCCAGGCCCGGCACTGTCATCCACTGTGCCACATTGCTACTGGACAGTGACTCATACGGCATTGACAAACTTGCCTCCCAGACTTCAAGATGGTCAAAGTCAACCATAGTATTGCAATTTCCAGTCCCCAGAATTCAATTATAGGTGAAACATGAATGTTAAGGCCATCTGTAATTTGCTTCCTTTTGGTGCCTGGCAAAACAAAGAGAGAGCTCTCCAGAGCTTTGTCAGTTTTGGCATCATAGTCCTACCCCCAACTGTATCTACTCCCTTATTTTCAGGTTAGATAAATTTAATTCATACATCTGTATGATGTTTGAGATGAACCTAGTTTTTTTTCTCGTAAATTAACCTAAATGTGTCTTAGGAAAATTCCCGTGTGTGGAAAGTAAAGAATAAAAGTAACAATCACATAGCCAACCTTAGAATCAGGCCTAAGGACTTCACATAACAGAATCACTGTTGGTCCTTTGAGTTTTTTGCCAGACATCTAAAAGGGAGATTTATTTAGAAAAGAAACATCAGCTGTGACAGAACACATTTCCACATTTATGTAGCCAAGTAGACTTTAATTACAGCAGACAGCAAATCCATATAAAATGACTGATTACAGAAACTACCAATTTAGACCACCCATATCAGTATGTGTGCAAAACACAAAACCAAAAATACATTAAATACTGTAAATGATGGTGGAACGCAACATAGTTTGCAAGAGGATACACTGAAACATTGTCAAAGAAGCTGTAAACCTACCTTGTTTAGCCATTGACATGATTACTAAATTTAGAGTCTGTCATAGTGTTTGAAAATGGTGTTTCCTTAATGCTATTGTGAATGTGCTTGTGGACAAGCCCTAAGTGTATGACATATCACAACACAATACACATAATCATCACTTTGTTAACGCAAGCAATCTCAACCACAAGTTAGAAATACCAGGGTAACCAAATTCCTAATGGAATTATGGTGACGTGTTGAAATTCAACTACAAAGCGTAAACTTCCACTCTTATCTAGCTATTGATAGCACTGCATGTGAGGTGAAGTCCTCTATTGTTTCTGATATCAGTACCCTCATTTACTAGGCAGAAGTTGCATTTAAAAAACAAAACACAACAAAATCCCACAAACATGCCCTTCCAATGTTTTCGTTGTTGTAAATGGGCACTTTGCATGGATCTATTCAGAAGAACACAAGCTACTGTACAGAGTTGCCATAACAGCAAGATTATGGGGTAACCAAATCCCTGTCAAGCAGCAGCACATCCTAGATTTCCATTTACATGGGATAGTCCAAATGTAGCCAATGGGCACCCATTACTGTTTTATTTACCATTAGAGCTAAATTGTCCTAAGCGTGTAGAAATCCACTTCAAGCTTCCTCTCTTCTTCCAGATAACACTTTATGTTAGAAAAGTTGACCCCTGGAGGGGCTTAATGTTCAAAAAAATTGCCTCAGGAATGATGAGAAATAGATAACATGACGGTTAAATGCAATCTTGGCTAATTCTTGATGCTTGGACTCAAGAATGAAGTATTCAACATAAAAATTACATAATAGTGCAAAATTTCGACTGTCCAGTATCCCGAGAGACTTCAAGTTTGTTTTTGTCTCTTACTAATATGGCCTCATTTCCGTACTGTGAGTACCACATGCTCCGGCTCCTACTCAAGTAAGTCCCAGGCGGTACAGATTCCAACTTTTGCTGCTGTTGCTGCCAGATAAGCAAGGAAGCGTCCCTGTAACGAAGCCGGGCATAGCTCTCAGACAAAGCCTTCTCAGCTAGAGGTACTCGCCCATTCATTCCTCCTCCCTATGTAAGAGAATCTGTTTACTTCCCCTGCGTTCTTCTGTACCTTGGTTACTTCACAGCAGACCACAAGTACCAAAGACCACTCATTCATTTATTTCATGAAACCAGGTAATCAGCATCCTGGATTCTTGGACTTGAAGATTCCTTGTTTATCTGTGATTAAAAGCCACTTGCAAGTATGGTTACATCTTCTTGTAGACAAATATCTCCATGACAAGGGCAGAATCATGAGAAAGTGAAAAATGGGATGGAGTTTGTCCTTTCTAAGAAAAAGCAGCTACATAGATTATTGTTAACGTCACAGACCTATCTACATGCAAGAAATACGATGTATCAAAATAACTGAGCCCTAGCCACAGTCTTTTTGCTATAATGGTATACAATGTATTATGAACATTGTTAAACATACAACAGACAATGAGTCTCATCTCCAGATTGGTCAGTACCTTAACTAATGTTGAAACTCATCCTAAGTTATCTTATTTCCAAGGATGTATCTGGTCTCACTAAAAACAAGTACATTTTACAACCTGAAACTAAAAAAATTCTTGAAACAACTCAACCCAAGTGTATCCAAGGATCTGCTGTCACCATCATATATCAATGTTTCATTACATATGGTGGATTTGGAACTGGCTTTTCTTTTATGGTAAAAAACACCTTCAGAAGCAAATGGCTTTTAAAAAGATGATCCTTTACCTAAAAGGAAATAAAAATTCACATCATGTAGGTAAAAGGAAAATTGGCACATATTTACAATCATGTTTACATGGAGTCGTTTACAGTGTCCCCTCTATCTCCTCTGGGTCCAGTATCCCTTCCCTTCATTTTCCCCATTATCCTATCCTTCACCTTCTTAAATTCCTTGACTCCCCCATTTCCATACTACTTGTATACATAACTCATTGTATCCCTATCCTCTATATCCCATTTCCCCATTCCCTGTGTTCTTCTCATCCCCCAAGTTCCTTCATTGCTCATTCTCAGCTTGCCCACCCCCTGTTACTACCCATTCATGCCCTGTCTCTTTCCTGCATTCCCACCCTTGTATCTTCATTCTCATACCCTTTTGCTACATAAAATCACAGACTTATAGCTGCAAAGAACCTTAGAGGACATCTAGTCCAACTGCCTTGTTTTTCAGAGGAGGCATTACAGACCCAGAGAAGGAGGGGGAGGGACATGTGCCATGGTCACACAAGGTGGGTCAGCAATGAGATCTGAAATGCTGTCCTCAACTCCAGATCCTGTGCTCTTTCTACCCGTTCACATTGTTTCCCAATGTTTCCATATCTTGTAAACCCATCCCCCATAAGTCACTATCCTAATAAATTCAACAAATATTTACTAAGTTCCTACTATGTTGAATGTACTTTGTTAAGGCATTCGGAACATAATGACAAAAACCAAGGTCTTCTCTCAAAAGAGCTGACATTCTACTGAGGGGACAAAACGTGTATATTATTAAGTAAATACAAAGTAATTTCAAGAGAGAGTGTGTTAATAACAGAAGGGATCAGGATAGACTACTAAGCCATGCTTTGAAGGATGCTAGGGATTTGACAAGGTGGAAGTGAGGAGGAAAATGTAGAGGAACCAGATACAAAGGACCCCCTGTGTATAGGAAGTGGGAAATGTCCTATATGGAGAACAAGTAGCCAGTTAGTATGACTGGAACAGAGAACTGATGAAGAGTAATATGAAATAAAAGTAGAAAGGTAGGTAAGAGTCATATGGGGTGTCGGGGAGGGACTTTAAAACATCAGGCCTGAAGATTTTGCATTTCATCCTGGAGCCACTAAGAAACTCTTGTAGATTTTTGCATAAGGAAGTGACAGGGTCAGAGCTAGGTTTAGGATTTTAGGTTTTGGCTTAAGGGCAGAAGACAGATTGAGATGGAAGAGCCTGCAAATACTGAGGCCAATTAGGAGGTTGTTGCACTAGTCCAAAGGAGAGGCACTAAGGGCCTGAGAGGCACGAGAGAAAGGAATGGGAGAGATGCCGGGGAGGAGAGATACCAGCAAGACTTGGTAACTGACCGACTGGATGGAGGGTAATGAGGAAAAGATGATGATTAAAGGGTGACTCTAAGGTTGCAAATCTGGGTTATGGAAGGATGGCGGTGCCCTCAACAGTAAAGTGGAGGAGGTAGAAGAGAGTCCAAGTTTGGCCAAAATACTATGAGTCCTGTTTAGGACATGAGGAAGTGAAGATGCCCATAGGATAATAGGATAAGTCGAGGAAATCCAGCAGCTAGTTGGTGATGCAGGACTGGCAATCAAGGGAGAGATCAGGGCTGGGCATGTAGATGTGGAAGTCATCTGCAAGGAGATTTAACTGAACCCACGGGAGGTAAGGAGGTGAGAAGAAGAGCGAGAGATGAAGAGAAAAGAGAGGAAAAGAGGAGGGGAGGAGAGGAGATGGACAGGAAAGGAGAAGAGTGAAGAGAAGAACGGAGGGGAGGGGAGGAGAAAAGAGGAGAAGAAGGGAGAGAAGATGGGACGAGAAGAGAGGGCAGGGCAGGGAAGGGAAAGGAGAGAGGAGAGGGAGAGGGAAGGAAGGGAGGCAGATCGAGAGGGGAGTAGGAGGGAAGAGAGGGGGAGGAGAGGAGGGGGAGAGCAGAGGATGGGGAAGAGAGGGGGAGGAGAATCGAGGGGAGTGGGAGGGAAGGGGGGAGGGGAGGGGAGGAGATGAAAAGGAGGAGAGGGATAAGGAGAAGGGAGGGGGAGGGAACGAGAGGAGAGGAGGAGGGGAGAGGATGGGGAAGAGAGGGGAAGGGAGGAAGATCGAGGGGGAGTGGAGGAGGGAGATGGGGAGAGGAGAAGAGAACAGGAGATGGGGAGGGGAGAGGAGGACGAGAGAGGAAGGAAAGGGAGGGGAGAGAAGGGACAAGGGGCAGCGGCGGCTCGGGCCCAGGCCTGATACGGAGAGCTGCCCCCAACGTCCCCATCTCCCACATGGGCCCCCACTCCAGGAACCTTCCCATCTTCTGTGTGCCCCTCGAGTCCCGCCTCGGAAGACCCCCCCACTCACCCGCTGGGCTCCCGGCTGCGCCCCCGCAGGGCCCTCCCAGGGCCGGGCCGGGGCCAGGATGAGGCGGCCGTCACTTGCCACTCCGTCCCCATAGCAACGCAGCGGCGCCGCCGGGCGCAGGCATTTGGAGCCGAGCGCCGAGTTCGAGGAGAGGAGAGCGAGGAGCCTAGAGCTATCGATCGACAATTCCATCTGGGAAGGTACAATCCTTGCTCATCTAGCGGCAGCGGGGTGCACCGGCTCTTCTGGGAGAAGGGGCACAAGCACTGGGGTTTTAGGAGGCTGGAGGGGAGGGGAGGGGGAGAATGGCGTCAGAAGAGAGATACACAATGTGTACAGAGGGAAGGGATCATATTGTTTGTTGTTTTTCAGTCGTGTCAGACTATTGGTGACCCCATTCGGGGTTTTCTTACAAAGATACTGGAGTAGTTTGCGATTTCCTTCTCCAGCTTTTTACAGATGAGGAAACTGAGGCAAACAGTTAAGCGATTTGCCCAGGGTCACACAGCTAGTGAGTATTTGAAGTTGGATTTGAACTCAGGTCTTCCAGGCCCGTCACTCTATCCACTGCGCTACCTAGTTGCTGGGAAGGGACCCTAAATATGATCTGGTCCCCATTTTACAGATAGGGAAGTTGAGATTCCGAGAGGTCCGTGAGCACACAGTTTGAGCAAAGAGCTGGTCCCAAGCCTGGAAGCTAAAGGCAGCATTCCCAGGGAACTCTGAGGTAGAAAAAATAGTTCACATTACTACTGAGATATTCAATATGAGAGGAATTTGGGAAGGTCTAAAACAATCTACAAACGTCAGGTGTTATTTTTATTAGTGGTAGTGTGAGTAGTACAACTAAAGAATTGGAAGGGAGCAGGGAAAGAGTGGAGAGACCCTCCTAAGGAGCACAGAATTCAGAGCTTAAAGGGCCTTTAGACATCATCACCTGGGACAGGGCTTCTAAAACTTTCTGGCCTCAGGCACGTGCACTCTTAAGGGACTACAATCTTAGAAATTATTGAGGACCCCAAAGAGCTTTTGTTTATGTGGATTATATTGATTTTTACTGCATTAGAAATAAAAACATGGAATTTAAAAATAACAATTCATTTGAAAATAACAATAAATCTATTATATATGAATCAAGATACTTTTATGAAAAATAACTATTTTGCAAAATAAAAAAAGTAGTGAGATGAGTTGCATTGTTTTACATATTTTTTCCAAATCTCTTTAATGTCTGGCCAGATAGCAGACAGCTGGATTTCTTATATATGCTTCTGCATTCAGTCTTTTGTGATATGTTGTTTTGGTTGAAATATGTGAAGAAAATCCAGCCTCACAAAGATATGTGGCAGATAAAGAGAGGAGTATTTTAATAGGCAAATAATGTCTTAGTATTACTATGAAAATAGTTTTGACCTCTTAGACCCCTTAAAAGCGTCTCAGGGATCCTCAGGGGTCCTTTGACCACTCTTTGAGAACAGCTGATTTGGTACAACCCACTGATTACATAGAAGTGAAAACTCCAGAGAGATACTAGCTAGATGATAATACAGTTAGGTAGATTTGAAATTAATTGAATGACTGGACCCAAAGATTAATCATTAATGACTCCATGTTAGCTTGGAATACAGTGTCTATGGGAGTGCTCCAGAGATATGTATGGCCTTGTGCTTTAAAAAATAAACCACTTTTATCAATGATTTGGACTTAAAAAATATGGATAGCACGCTCATTCAATTTGCAAAGGACAGAGCCAGAAGGGGCAGCTGTAACACATTGGTTATAGAAACAAAATATAAAATGGGCTAGAATATGGGGGCTGAATCTAATGAATTGTAATAGGGATAAATGTAAACAAGTGAAATCAAATCGCAAGTACAAGATGGGGAAACCATGGCTAGACAGCATGTTGTCTGAAAAAGATTGGGGTTTGTTATCATACTTGTGTTTCAGAGGATGAGAGGAGTACCCAGTACCAGATTTGGTGTCTTTCAGGAGGGTACCACGTTTCAAGGAGTATGAAATAAAGAGAATGAGGGTGAAAAGAAGTTTATTAACATTAAAGCAGAGTGAGTGAAGTGAGCAGAATCAGAATGTTGTACATAGTAACAGCAACATTGCTCAATGATCAGCCATGATAGAATTAGCTCTTCTCAGCAATACAATGATCGAAGACAATTCCAAAAACTCATGATGGAAAATGCTGTCCACACCCAGAGAAAGAATTGATGAAATCTGAATGCAGATTGAAGCATACTATTTTCACTTTCTTTGGGGTTTGGTTTTTTGTTTTTGGTTTTTTTTTTCCCTTTTGTTCTGTTTCTTCTTTTACATGACTAATGTGGAAATATGTTTAACATGATTGCACATGTATAACCTATATCAGATTGCTTGCTGTCTTGGGGAGGGTTAAGGGGAAGGAGAAAAATTTGAAACTCAAAATCTTATTAAAAATTAATGTTGAAAACTATCTTTACATGTAATTGGAAAAAATAAAATGCTATTTACATTAAAAAAATTAGAGCAGGGCAGCAGTTATGTTGACTTTTTTTTTCCTTTCTTAAAAAAATAGTGTTTGTCATATGGGGTTACATGGGATACTATGGTGATGTAAGAAATAGAAAATAACAATAAAAACTTTTTTTAAAAAATCAGAGAAGAGCTTTCAGAAGACACAGTGAGGACAGAGGAGGATACAGACTATGGAGATAGTAGGGCTAAAGTGTTTATGGTTGAAAGTGATAATAATAATTAGCATTTATATAGCACTTTGTAGTTTTACAAAGTGCTTTACAAATATGATTTTATTTGATCTTCACAATAACCCTGAGAAATAGATGCTATTGCTATCCTCTTTTTAGAGATGAACAACCTGAGGCAAACAGAAATTAAATAACTTGCCTGGGATCACACAGCTGGTAAGCATCTGAGACCAGATGTGAACTTAGGTCTTCTTGACTACAGGTCTAACTGCTTATCCATTGTACCACCTAGCTGCCTACAAGGAATACAAGGAACAGTAGTAGGAAGAAATGATTTTCACCTGAACAGAGCTCAACTCTGAATAAGTGAGATAAGTGGAGCAGAAGATGAAAGCTTGCCTACCATAATGTGGGGAAAGAACCAGATGATCAGGGTCTTCTATGACTGTGTGGGAGCAATGGCACCAATGGTATTCACTTCAAACACAGGGGAGCAGAGGCTATAGGAGGGTGGAGACTTTAGGAAATTCTGCTCAGGCATCTGGACCAGTGAAGTGTTTCAGTTTCTGAGGCCCAAATAAACTCATGGTCTATGCCAGGCCAGTTAGCATTATCCCAAGGTGATAGGAGATGAAGCATATTTGGAAACATCCTAACACATGAAAGAATTACTAAGCTCTCTTTGAAGTCCTAAAGATCTAGATCTTTGATGGGTGTGAGTCCCTCTCTAAGTAATGTTCTAATGTTCTAATGATCTGCCTCTAATGCTCTGAAGCTAAGAATATTTTAGTTGTGAGTCCCCAATAGCTGCAGATAACTACCATGATAATTGGGTCTGTGGGAGCTGGACTGAACTCATGCTTGGTGTCAGCTCTGTATCTGTATCCTAAAATGAGAGGGGATGGTGCACACCCAGAAAATACTTCATATATGGAGTGAGCACAGAGCTCCCAGCTCCCAATCTTGGAGTCCCCCAAAGCACTGGTTCTCTATATAGTGCCTTTGGCATCCTGAGGCTCAGGATTTCTAATGGATGAGTCTCTACCAGAGGAGACGCTCTCTTGCCTCTAAAATCCTGAGGTTTGGCATCTCAGATGAGTATGAGTCTCCATTAGAGTAAGTAGACTAGATAGGGCAATAAAGACCTTGATTAGAGCAACTTGTACATGGAAAGGTTGTAATTACTGGAGGGAGAATCCATAGTAATGAAATCATAGATCATTTGGAGCGGTCATTTACAAGAAGGATTGGACTTGTACTGCTTGGCGGAAGAAGTCAGAGCTTGGAATAGTAGTATTAATGAAAGTAAAAAAGGAAAGTTAGTATTAATGGAAGTAAAAACTTCCTAACAATTACACTAATTATTTTTAAAGTTGGAGGGAGGCAGTAAATTCCTTTTCTTTCTTTGCATTTTATTGTATTTTTAATCTGAACTTAAAAACATTAAATAAAATGAGCATTTCTACATATACAATAGAACAGAAACATAGGATTGTGCATAAAACTATGAATCTGTTACATACCTTGATTTTCCTTGTAAATATATGACAAATTCATTATGTTATTTTCAAGGTTATCTTGCTTATTTGTATTTCCTTTCGGCCTTTCTTCAATTCTCTCATAGTCATTAAAAAAAAATTTCGATGACCCTCTTTTTTGCAACTCTGCCACTATACTTCCTCACCCTTTCACCTAATCCTCAAATTGAAACACAAAAATAAAAACAAGACTCTGCAGCAATATGCCTAGTCAAGAAATGTAAAATCAGTGTGTTCCTTCTCATTGAAGATCTTCAAAAGATTAGATGGCTACTTGTCTATGACATAGAGAGGATTCTTCTTCAGGGACAGATGGACCACATGCCCTCTCAGGTTGTTTCAATTCTGAGATTCTGTAATTTTGTGACTTCCCTGAGGTGCCCATGGTGACCTAATAAAACACAAATAATAATACCCCTCAACAAACTACCTGATTCTACCTCCTGGGGTTCCCCATCCCACCCCATCCTTGACAGGGAATGCCCTCCCTCTTCTACTCTCCCTATCTTGCATATCCTTCGAGGCATATGGTCCAATTCAATTCATTTCAACAAAAACCTACTCTGTGCTGGTCACTGTTCTAGGAACTAATAATGCAAAGGTGAAAAACAATATTGCCTGCCCTCAATAAGTTTATAATTTAGTAGTCTTTAGTGCTGACTAATCATTAAAATAGCAATGTGAAAAGTCACAGAGGAATCCAGTTCTCCTAAATATGCTCTAGCAGAGACTGAAAAAGGGCACCAGATTGAATAATGATCAAGAAATCCAAAGAAAAACAACAGTAATGTCCTCCATGTAGCTTAAAGATGTCCAGAAACCATTTGTTCTAGAAGTGATGGTCCCACCAGGGAATCCAGTATGAGTTCAGGTAAACAGGCCTGAAGTTGGCAACA